GATTTCTCCTCCCTGGCTGCAGGCTGATAACAGACAGTTGGGATCGCGGCAAAATTCTCTCTGCAGACCCATTCTCACAGCATTTATCAACCTTTTTCTTACTCAATATCAAGCCACACTTATTGTTTTTAATCCGGCTGTGAGTTTGTGTGTGCTCAGGATGAGTTTGGCTGTGTTTTGCTGTGTATCCTAAACAAGGAAACAACACCTCCACGGAGCTCAGCGCGATTCACAACGTCCCGACCAATCAGAGCACACTGTGCTCACAGGGAGGGTGGGGGCTGGAGCTATTGGAGCTACAACGAGCCGTTAAAGGCAGAGAGTGAAATTCAGTGAATACACGTAGTTTACAGAGATGCTGTATGAGAAACCAATGTGAGTTTGGAAAATTGCACAATATAAATCTATTCTAGTAGACCTCAACAATGGAATTATGATCAGTGGAAATGGCCATGACATAGGCCCTTTAAAAAAAAAAAAAAAACATTTCATTTTTTGTTGTTGTTGTTGTTGCATGGGCCCCTTGCCGGCTCTGGGCCCCGGTGCGTTGCACCGGCTGCACCGTCGATAGTTACGCCACTGGCAAGAACGCTCCATATCAACTTAACAAACTCTTTCCCATCTGAACTCATACACCATGTAGGCTACTCTGAAATTTAAAAAGAAAACGCAAAAAAACAAGGAAAACATCCGGTGTTTCACCTGAGGCCTGTACTACGAAGCTGGTTCAACCTAACCTGGATATGTTGGAGTTAGCCGGTTGGCCTAAGCCAAAACATACGCGCTGGCGCTAAACTGTACTACGACGCTGGATATCAAGTGGATCGCTCAAGCCGCCGTGTCCTATCTAGTTAGGTGCGCGTTCACATGAAAGGGGTGGTATTTGGAGCATTCGACCAATCTCAAACACGGAGAAGCGTACTGACAGCGCAGCGTCATACTTCCTGAATGAAAAGTGAACTTTAATATTAGTCAAATATGAAGAAGTTAAACTTTAAACATCCATGACTTAAACACTTTACCCAGGATAAAAGCCACATAGCTGCACCTGCAAGGTGAATACAGCTGGTAAAAGAAAAAGTGTTTGAATGCGTACATTAACAGGTTTATGAAATCACTGCCCCGTCCAAGACACGAGTGGATCTGACTTTAATTACATTTGACTCAAGTGTTTCGTCAATGTAATGTGTTGCTTAAAATAATACTTCTGCATACAGTATGTGACACTGTGAGTGTTGCACAGCCAGATACGGCTCAAGAAGCTGACTCAAATAAGGAAATATATGATACATTATGATGTGATATGATATGAATGATAATGGGACACATCTACGTCTGCACTCACAGTGCCGCGGACTGTAGCCTACTTAATGTTACTCTGATCCGGTTACTTATGTCGTGGCAGATATTTAAGTAAGCTTTCTTAACGCTAATGTTATAATAGTCAGATTGCTCTGAAGATGGGAGGGGATATTCTATTAATTTTCACGTTCACACAGTCAGTTGATTTTGGCCGGCAGTCTTTCCTGCAACGGCAGTTTTTCTGTATTTCCTCTATCCTGTTATATGAATTGATCGCTTTAAACTCCGCACACGGAGCTCTGATTGGTCAGCAGGCAGTGCTTTCACTGAGTTGATCTCTTAGCCTGCCACCTAACCTGCTCCGGAGCAGGTTTGCCGCTCAGCATAAGTTACCATGGAAATCTAGCCTGCTAAAAAGAGAACCAGCGTCGTAGGACCGGAAAGCCCGAGATTTCCCTGAATTTAGCCGGCTAAGCGAAAATCCAGCTTCGTAGTACAGGCCTCTGATCTGAACCTGCATGAAATTCACTATACAGAAAATAAGCTTATCAACAGCCGTACAAAAGAAAGAAAATCAGTGTGGCACAATGACATGGAGTTTCAAACATGACAAAATAAAGTTAACTTAAAACAGCTACATGTTTCCTTTTTTAATGTTTCTTTTTCAACATCTCCCTCTTAGTTTGCAATGAGAATGTGACAAAAACAAATCAATGGTGAACTTGGGGAAGGAAAAGAAAATGGTCCAAATGTGTGTATTCAATAAACAAAAGACACTACCGCCACATTGGCCAAAATGTGCTTGTGACCTTTACAGCCAACATATTCAAAGTTCAATCTATTTCTTAGACAAAAATTACGGGAAAAAAAAAAGGTAGTCCTGGTTGCAGTAAAGGGACAATTATTTATGATGAGAGTAACACTGACCCAGTTTCACTAGCTTAGCAAATTTAAATAATTAGCTTGTACCAACAAACCAGATATACTTAGGAGCTACGTCAGAGGTTTACTTTGGGGTGGCCATGCATTATATAAGTGAAATAGGTTGGATCAAACTCTGTGGCCACGGATCATTTGGCATAGATGGAATAAACTGTATGAATGGGTGAAAGCGCAAGTTGTGCCTGGCTGCGAACAGACAAACATTCTTTGCCCTGGGAGCATTAAGTGCATGGCCACCAAGCTCGATGAGTGCATGTTTTATCTTACATTTATAGAGGAGCTCAGTGTTGAGGAATTGATCTCAAATGGAGAAAAAAACAAAAACAAATAGAAGCTGGTTACGGTTACACAATGTATCACAACATGGCTTCTCTATGATTTCAGATAATTAATAAAAGTATTTTTGAGTTTTGGACTGCTGTTCAGACTGAAATACAAAACCCCAGGCTCTAAACATGTGATTGGCATTTGCTAGTTTTTCATACAGGAAAAGATACATTAAAGGTGGGGTAGGTAAGTTTGAGAAACCGGCTCGAGATACACTTTTTGTTATATTCCATGGAATGCTCTTAACATCCCGATAGCAATGAATATCTTAAGTGCTTTGACAAAAAATCCATACAAAAATGTCATCTGTGGAAGCCGTAGTACTGTAAAAAGCACAACCAATCATTTTAGCCGGCCCGACTAAAATAACTGGATGGCCTACCTGCCTGTCAGCCTTCCATCTGTGCACAAACTTATCTCGTGCCCTCATTGGTCATGTGCGCGTTCGTGTGTGTTGGAGGAGGGGCTCTGTAAGGAAGTGGCAGATTTTCTCCGGTTGTGTATTTTCAAATTCTAGCGATATCGAGCCGGTTTCTCAAATGTACCTACCCTACCTTTAATATATCAAATAATCCCTATTTTCGTTGTCATAGATCACAAATATATTACTACTCAGCTTCTGTTTGTCTATCTAACGGGCCGTCTCCACGGCAGCGTTAAAGGCTTGAGGATTTTTTGCGAGCAACCAATCACATGAATCTCCCGCCCGCGACATACGAAGCAAAAAAGCCCGAAGTAAACTGGATATAAACTCCCCAAAACAGGCGAAAACCTACCACTGTCTCTGCCACCTCCCTCCATGCCTGGCTCCTCCGGTTTATATCCCGGTAGGTCTGGTCATAAAGCACCGGGTGATTGATTCGCTACCGCTAATTTCTCCTCCATTTTTTGGAATATGAGGAAATGACCTGCGGTATTTCTCTCCCAGCATACACGCCGTTTGATTGGCTAGAGCTTGAACTGTCAGATTTGCGTACACGGGATTTGATTGGCTGACGCTTCCACCTCAGCCTCAAAAGTTGAACATTGTTCAACTTTGGATCTTGAAAATCCTGAGAATCTCCGCTCGCCTGCCCACAATGCATTTCGGCGAAAGCGAAAAAAAGTGACGTCACCCCATTCAAAGTGAATGGGCAGAAGCGTTTCAAGATTTTTTAACGCTGCCGTGGAGACGGCCCGTTAGAGTGGACCTATCATGCTATATTTGAAACATATATTGTAGGGCCATACCTATATACAAAACATGTCTGTCTAGTTTTTTTTTCAAAATACCAAACAGTTCACCCATTGTAGCCATGCCTCATACTGCTCATACCCCTCTTTTGCAGCCCTGTTGAGAAACGCAGATTTTGGGTCCTTAGCTTGAAAAAAAAAAGAAGAGGAGGCGGAGCTAATGCCTGATCAGAATTCTACCGGAGATAAAGTTAAATTCTGCTGTGATAAAACGCCATCCTGTTTAAACCACGTCAAGGATTATTTCTGAAATAGTATGGAGCTCAAATGCTTTTTCTCTTGCAGGTTTATCACAAGGTGAGTTCTTTTATTTCCTGCTTTTTAAACACATGTGCTCTACACAGTAGCCTACAGGTTAGCTCTGAGTGTTAGCGAGGCTTGCTAATGTAAACAAAGACGAGATTACGTCCAAAACACGTCAGGCATGGTTTCCGATAGCAACTTTCTGTGGGTCCGCTGCCGATTTGACGTCAGTTCGGATGGAATCTGACCCTAACCCTTGTACACCATGGATGTAGTTGTACACCCGTTTTTAAAAGATTTGGGTACGGAGGAAAAGAGAGAGGGTTTTATTTTCTGACGCTGCGTGAGTTCCCCGACGCACCGGGGACACAGATGTATGTATAAAAGACATCACAAAGTGCATTTTGCATGATAGGTCCCCTTTAAGTAATACCAGTAGGCTACTGTCTCTTCATAGACATTATTCAAGTTGATATAAACAGGAAGACAAATCCTGAAACGACACACTGGCATTTAGCTATTTCAGAAGTCATTTTGTATTTCCAGGCGGATCATGAGGTGGCACCTTTATATATATACACACAGTCTATGGGTGGCACATGGGAGCTGCAGCTCTTGCAGCAGGTTGCATCAGTCTGGTCAGATCAGGCACATTACCCACTCTCAGCAGGACTAAACCCCCCTCCCCTCCCTCATTCCAGTGTGAGGAGACAACTGAGCTCATATTTACCAACCAACATTTAACAGCCAAGGACACATGTGACCGTGGGCTCAGATATCCGAGAGTGCTGCTGATTAGATTATTTACAGTCAGAGGAAACAGCCTCAACCTTGACCAAAAGATAAACTGCTCAACTGTAAATATGAAACTAGTGATAGAGAAAGTGCAGTTGTTTTCACTTCAGCCCTTTAAGTAAAAACAAAGACAACACAGTAATCAGACAAACACGGGAGTAGTTTAAAGCATTTTATTGCAATTTTATTTTTTAGAAAAACAATACAAAATTCTGTAGCAACGGTCATAAATGTTCCTTGAGTGAACTGCAATCATTCACATGGTACAGTAAAGTGCTTATTTTAACTCAAAAATATGTTTCGTATTTGAAAGGATGTATTTATTTCAAATATCTTTTCATGGACACGACGGTCTTTGTGCATTCAGTGTTGAAAAACAGATGTCAACTCAATAGAAAATAAAAGATTGAGGACTGAATCCACGTAGATAGGATATTTCAACACCATGTCCATGAGAAGAACTCTTTATAAAACATTTGATCAACGTTGCTGGATTGTAAATGCTTTTGCCTGCGGGCTACATTCAAATTTGGGGAGATTGATGGACTGTCGATTTGAAGGAATGACTGGATTTTAACACATCCTTACTTCAAAATGACTTACAATATAAAAATTGCGAGGCTTAAGGATACAATGTTGTCCTATTTGCCCCACCCCCCCAATAAAAGGCAGTCCAAAAAGCTACTGCCATTTGACAAAAGTAGAAATGGTCATGACCAAGAAAACTCTAATCATACCATCCAGGATATTAAGAGTATGGCCAGAAACTGTGCGTTTGAGTATTGAACCCTCTAAAAAAGTAGGGTCCAACTTGTCTGATGCCCAAAAAGGAGACAAAGGCAGAATACTGAACTGTTTTAGGTATTTTAGAAACCCCAAGATTGCCTTGATCATCAGCCTAATGCTTAGAGATTTACCTGTAGCAAAGTAGTTTCCCAAATGGAGAAACAGCTGCATACACAAATTCAAGTAAGTCTTAGTATAAGACATAAAACCCCAGAACGATGCATCTGTAGAAAGGTATTTTAGAACTATTACGGTGTCCCATTATCAGCATAATGACACCAAGTGAGCCATTTCCAGAGTACCATCGCTGCAGTGCTGGTAACGGGATGCGGCTATCAAAATCCCACTGCTCCAACTAGGTGATGATCACATGTCCAATCAGGTTGAACCCTCTTTGGTGAAATGGTTACAGTGTTGTGAGACCTCATAACCAGTCCATTACCTATCAGTTTCAGAATGAGCTTCAACTTAATCTGAATGACAAAAAAAAAAAAAATTATTGCCAACTCTTACAAATAAAACTTAAAAGCGTTCCTTCACTGGGCAATAACGCTCCAGATCAACTTAAACTCTTTCCCATCTGAACTCGTACACCACGTACTCTGAATTTAAAAAAAAAAACCCGCAAAAAAAACAAGGAAAACATCCGGTGTTTCACCTGAACTGAACCTGCATGAAATTCACTATACAGAAAATAAGCTTATCAACAGCCGTACAAAAGAAAGAAAATCAGTGTGGCACAATGACATGGAGTTTCAAACATGACAAAATAAAGTTAACTTAAAACAGCTACATGCCCGGAAGACTTTCTTTTTGTGGAATGTTTCCTTTTTTAATGTTTCTTTTTCAACATCTCCCTCTTAGTTTGCAATGAGAATGTGACAAAAACAAATCAATGGTGAACTTGGGGAAGAAAAAAAAAAAAAAGGGTCCAAATGTGTGTATTCAATAAACAAAAGACACTACCGCCACATTGGCCAAAATGTGCTTGTGACCTTTACAGCCAACATATTCAAAGTTCAATCTATTTCTTAGACAAAAAAACTCCTGGTTGCAGTAAAGGGACAATTCTTTATGATGAGAGTAACACTGACCCAGTTTCACTAGCTTAGCAAATTTAAATAATTAGCTTGTACCAACAAACCAGATATACTTAAGAGCTACGTCAGAAGTGTACTTTGGGGTGGCCATGGATCATATAAGTGAAATAGGTTGGATCAAACTCTATCAGCCATGAGGGATGAATGATGTGGCCACGGATCATTTGGCATAGATGGAATAAACTGTATGAATGGGTGAAAGCGCAAGTTGTGCCTGGCTGCGAACAGACAAACATTCTTTGCCCTGGGAGCATTAAGTGCATGGCCACCAAGCTCGATGAGTGCATGTTTTATCTTTATCTCAAATGGAGAAAAAAAAAAAACCCTTCAAGTCTCCAGCCATATGAACGGACCGCACCAGGCACGGACAGCATTGGCTTACAGCCCTTTCAACCTCTTATAAATCCCTCTGATACAGGACAGCCTACTTGGCATATTGCATAAGCTCGTACGTATCTGCAGATGGGCCATTCATGCATATACATACAGGCAAAGAGAACATTCCAGATAAATTATTTCACAGTGGATCCAGTTGTAACGTGGGAGCAGCACAACAGGTTGTCCTTTGGTGTCTGAGCTTAGTTTCAAAGATAAGTGTTCTTGCTTTCTTCTGAACTTATTTTTATGAAGAAAAACTTAGAAAAGACTTCTCTCCCAAATCATTAACTGGCCCTCCCCCCCCAAACATTGACTTGTGTGTGTGTGTGAGAGTGAGTGAGTGAGTGTGTTTGCAGGCCCTGGGCTGATGTGCTTCAAAAGTGCTGCGGAAGGGCAGAAGGCATTTAGAGGAAGGGCTGCAAGCAGCGTCTCCCTTACAGCGAGGCAAGAAAGCCCAAATGGCAGAGGAACCAAGGCCAGCAAGAGTCAGGGAGGGGGGCCAGAATTGATGAGAGAGTCCCAGGGTAGTCTGGATCTGGACTTGAATCTTAACAGGAGGTCGGAGGTCAGGGTTGAGAAGGTTCAGGCACAGTCTCCCACAATAACCAGAGGGGCCAGGAGCTGGCGGAGCTCTGCAGCAGAGACGGGCCCCAGGCTGGGCTGCTGCCGGCGCCGGGCCAGCTTGGAGTTGGAAGAAAGGGAGAGGCGAATAGAAGAGCCAGTAGTGGTAATAACAAACGGGACGTCCTGCTGCTGCTGGTCTTCCATGTCGTCCTGTTCAGCTAGCTGCCGGTTCACAGCCATGGCTTTGTCAGCAAAGAATGTCAGATCCCTGGAATTGCTGGATCTACGAGACAAGATCAAAAACAGATTAAATACAAAGTTCAAATATTTGAAGCTGAAGTGTCCATAACGAAGACAGTGTGCTGTAGCTGTAACTAATGTTTTCTCACCTTGGATGCAGGATTGATGTTGATAAAGTGTCAGATGCACCCTGAGTAAAAAAAAAAAGAAAAGAGAAAAGTTATTGACAAAACCCAAACTAAGAATGTATGCCGAAGACTTGCAAAAGAGGCGTGATGATTTAAGACTTACCCTCTGCACCCAGGGGTGTCGCAGCACCTGGCTGGCACTCAGGCGACTTTTGGCGTCCCGAACCAGAAGTTTGGATATGAGGTCTTTGGCACTTGAGGAGATGTTAGCCCAGTCTTTTTCTGGGAACTCGTATTTTCCTTCCTGGATACTCTCAAACAGAGTGTTCTAAAGATGGACATAAAAACATGCATCATCAGTTGCTGTGACCTCGATGGAGGAGATGCATTGTTTAGTTTTCACTAATGTCAAACTCTTACCTGGCAGGTGTGGCAGGGCTCCCCTAACTCCCAGCCGCAGCCTCCACCACAGCGGCCTACAAAGGGGGGGTAGCCGCTCAGCATGATGTAAAGGATGACTCCAAGGCTCCACAGGTCACAGCGCTTGTCATAAATAGTGGCCTCCTCACTGAAGGCCTCCACCACCTCGGGTGCCATGTACTCTGCTGAGCCACACTGAAAAACAAAATCACAAGTTGGTTAGCCCCCGGGATGAGAGGAAGCAGTACCTTCAGCAGAGTTGAGGGAAACGGAAGCCTCTCATGGATGCTGCCCACATTCCTCTGTTCAGCTGATTCCTCGTGTCTTCGTGTTAAAGCTTAGGGCCTACACAGTGGTGGGGGGGATAGACTATGTGACAGTCACATGCTTATGTGCAGTGATTGGTTCATTTAAAATGGGCTATACAGCCTTTATTGATGTTTTAATGATAGCCAAGTAGGAACATTGCGTACAATTACACACCAAGTGTAGGAGGTAGTGTGGGACTATAATTAAGCAGGTCAGCCTGCGTAGGCAGCAGCAGTGACTCACTGCTTTGACCGTACAGCTGTACACAAGCCAGGCAGAACGGGCCAAGGGCAAGGGTTGGCTCGGCTCTGATGGTACCTTGTTATGTAGCTCAGAAGGAAATTAGGCCAAACACTGAGCGGGGAAAAGAGGATTGGTTGTCCTGCAGAGCCAGAGACTGGGCTGAGCCCTAGTCAGTTACGCAACTTTGAAATAAAAACCAAATGCCGTTTTAATTCTGTAGGAACAGAACAGCAAGTCGCTAGATCAGCAGGAGAAATATTTCATTGGCCCCACAGTCACTGAACCTTAACAGGAACTTTTAGATTGATTAACGATGTTACAATTTAAAAAAGGATGGAGCTTTGGATATTTTGAGAGATGTCCTAAATATAGACAACTCGTGGTAAATTCTAAGAACCTGCTTTGAAAATACTTGTAATCCATCCTTTGCCTGCTGAGCTACAAACGTAAATGATAGCAGAATCCGGACCAAGGCAGATCATGGCCTGCTTCCTCTCAAAGCACGGTGGCCTACATCTTTCTTTCCATCTGTGGTCGAGCATGTTTACATTGAGCAGGCCACCATTGTGTCCTGGTACCATATCCCAGCTGTCTCCTAACTCCTCCTCCACCCTGCTGCACCCTTATGTAATGAAATCTGCTGCACAGGAATCTCGTCTCAGACAAAGCTGCTTCTGTCGGGAGAGTATATCCCAACCCCCACGTTAACACCAACAACATCATGTCTGGGGCGCCTGCCTCCACAGACAAGCCCCCAGGATTCAGGCCAAACGCAGCTGCCACAGCAATAACAGACACAAAAGGTTACTTTGCCTACCAAGGTGCCCCAAAACTCAACTTTAAATAAAAAGAAAACAGCCATCAAGGCTAATTTTGTTTCAAAGCCACTAAATATACTACAAGTCAGAGTAAAGATAGAAAATCTAGTACTGCCAGTGGCAAAAAGAGTTGATAGGGAGCAGGGAAATAACATTTGTTCTTCCTGTACTGCTGCTGCAAACACCTGGTGAACTTGCGTCAGTCACATCCTCCTCAAACTTTACTGTAAGCTGAAGCTATACTTGCTAATCGGCTGCAGTCACCACATAATTAGTTGGTATTGCAACCTGGGGCTTTCCTGAAACCATGTGACTAGTCAGGCCATACTGACACCGCTGATGACACACCTCTGCTGTTTGTAAACTACGTGATTATCTGAAGAGGCTTACAGGAAGGAGACGTGTTCTGTCACCATGCAGCTGCACCTGCAAACAACAGATGCAGTCTAAGCTGCTTCTGTTTAGCGTCCTCAATTTTCAGTTCCACATCTCACAGCAGGTATACATGAGTGACATTTGAACAGTCCAATTTTATGCCAAGCAGACAGCACAGCTTTCTCCTAGAAAGGACCTTTTGCGCTTCTATGCGTCTATTGTACTAGAGAGCACACTCCCACAGTTGACTTCCTAAAATAGCCCCGAGATAGAGGTGATTAAACACATTTGGTTTCATCAAGATGGCAAATGTGTGTTAATTTGTGCAACAGCATCGGTTGGAATGTGGGTATGGGGCGGGCTGGGGGTGAGTGCCAATAGTGAGATGAAAATCAGATAACATCGTTCCTGTGATCAGGGCAAAGAAAACAAGTCAGAGCGCATGAGCAGACTGGGTAGTTGTCCCTCCCAGTTGCCTTCCCCCACCCCCTGGGCCAGCCAATCACATCCCAGTTGCTAGGTATAGGGGAAAGACTAACATTTCTAGAACAAGCCTCATGCACACCCTTTGTATAATGAACATAAAGAAAGCGCAGACAAGCACAAGCGTGGTTGGGGCCGCTGGGCGGAGACTAAGCAGAGAGAGAGGAGGGTGGATGTTTTTCTCTTTCCTACCACAGAGAGAAAAGGAGCATGAGCATAAAGTGGTGTGTTATGGTTTCTCTGTAACTTCATACCACAGGACATCCTTCAAGGCTATCACAATGTGTTCTCTGAGGCAGGAGCTTTTTTTTCCCGTGAGATAACGTCTAGTTATGTACAACAATACTAGGTATAAAAATGGTAAAGAAGCAAGCTTTAGTTAATAAAAGGATGCCCCCTACTGCACCAAACGCATACTTTATCATTCAGGCCAAACATCGAAGTCCATGTAAACTAAACTCGAGAAACTACAAATCTATCTCCGCACTTCAAATAGCTGAGGGTTAGGCTCCATCCATTAGTTCTGCTAAAGGAAGATGAAGTTACCATTGAAGAAACCCCCCACCCACCACCACATTCCTGCAGGCTAAACTGCCATCCTTCACCTGCTCTGGTCCATCTACCCAGCCCCGCAGACAGCGAGCAGACAGTACGTGTTGACGAGGAGAAATCTTGCCAGTTTAACTTTACTGTTCCCCCCCTTTTGAGGTTGCAAGGGATTTTCTGGGCAGTGTTCAGAGGACTTTCTTAGTGTTGGGACAACAGCAGAAGAGTTGAACAATCATAACTCCCAAACACAGGCCTCAATATTTGAGAATGATAAGCAACAGGCCGTTGACATTAAATTGAGGGCTATCTATCCAAGTATTACTGATAGTCCAGGGGGTAAACGCTGCCCGATTGTGAGATACAGGAAACAATCCCTGTCATTGCACAGAAACTGCCCAAAGCTGAACTGCCTTAACCTCAAAACACAACACTTTATCTCTCCTATCAGTGAGCTGCCCTGCAGCTAACTCCACTGAGGATTGCCCAATAGAAAGTCAGCCAATTTGACTTGATAAAGGCATTGTTTTACAGCCTGAAAACACCCTGCCTGTCCACAACAAGGTCACACACACACACACACCACTATAGGGAAATGTTACCAAGACCATGCAACAAAGCTTTACCAATACATTGCTGGCCTGCATTTCCTGTCAATGGTACTCTCCTATTCCCATTGAATAAATGCAGTCCAAACTGTTTGGCAAACAACAGGAGAACAATATGAAGGAGGACTTACAGGAGTGAGGAGCTCAGGGGTGGAGATGGGTGAGCTGTCGCTGTTCAGCTTGATGCCACTGCCCAGGTCAAAGTCACAGATCTTGACTGGGGAAATCTGACAAAGAGAGACCGATTTAGAATCCTTAACATGAATCACATTTTGATAAGCAGAGCACATTATGACAGTTTATATCAAGGTGTTGTCCTTTCAACTAATTGGGCTGGAACGCATGTGGTAAACTCACCTTGTCTGCACTCTTACAGAGGATGTTTTCAGGTTTGAGGTCTCTATGCGCCATTCCTAGAAAAAAATGAACAGGGAAGCAATCAGTAATATTCTTAATATCAGGCCACCATGTTAGAATAACGTAATGCAGAAAGCACCCTATTCTATTTTTTTTCCCAGTGCCAGTTTGAAAGAGGTTAGGGCAAATCTGTTCAGTTTCTCCAGTTCTAAACAAATGTTCACAGTTGGGCTTTTTTGGTGATCATGAGTTATACAATTCTATTTTGTACGAGTGGTCTCACCTTTGTTATGCAGGAAATCCAGAGCACTGGCGATTTCCTGCACGACAACACTGGCTTCCTGTTCGCTGAAGTATCGTCGTTTGTGAATGTGTGCCAAGATGGAGCCTATTAAAGAGCAAAAGGTTGAGTACAGCAGCTCCATTTACAAAAAAATATTATAAAAGTTCTTCCAAACACTGATAAACAACTGGCTACAGTGAAGCACATGCATTACAGGAATGTTCAAAAAATAAATAACGTTCTGATGCAGGCATCCTGAAACGGTTTGAATTCACTTACCTCCTCTTAGCTTTTCAAACACCAGGTAGAATTTATCTTCCTCTTCAAAGAACTCTACCAGCTCCAGGATGTTACTAAAAAAAAAAAAAAGGATCACCATGAGCCAGTTGTAAAAGAGGCATCTATTCTTGCAAACATTTAAAGTGATTTCTGCACTATAGAGTAAGAGCACCGAGGGGCTCCAACAGAATGAAATGGTCAGTCAGTCTTTGGTACATCAGCTGCTCATGCCATTACCTGTGTCCCTGGCACTGATAGAGCATCTCAACCTCTCGAAAGACGCGGCTGCGGCTGTGACCCGGTCTCTTCTCAATGATCTGAAGTAGAAAATGATAATTCAACGTCTATGTTTTCCACAGGAGAATGATAAAAGACTATTCTAGTGTATTCTAGTATCTAATGACTCATAATACAAATAAACAGTGGCTGACACAAACCAGTGCTATAAAATGAATGTATAGCACAGATTATGTATACCATATACAGAGAGCTAGAACACATTTTTCTCCCAGACCAGAATTTTCCAGTTTTCCTCCCCCTCTCCCAACCTGTGACACCGTTGTAAAGATAGTTTAACCTACTTTTCATGCTGCCTGCAGAAGCAGAGACCTCTGAATGAGAATTCAACAAGTCACGGCATGTCTATATTTAGCATTTCATGTGTGACCCATATTTAAATCTGAAGCACTCTTAAGGAGCTGATTGCGTTCTTTGAAACACCCCATGGGTTATTCCAAACCTGTTTATGATAAACAACAATTCTTTGCTTAATATAGCTTTGTGCTGCCTGGAACTAATCCACCGAGGGGCCACCGCCAGCCGAGCGATGTCATGCCAAGAGAGACAGAAAGACAGACTGCTGACAACAAGCAAAAGGCCTGAATTTTCCAGCCCAGGTTGGTTATTGTCTGCTTGGGAGGCTGTGCATGTTTCTCTTCCTGGTGGCTGGATTACAGCTGCTATTGAAGCCCAGTGGGGCCAGAGTTACAGTGTGTGTGTCTAGGATTAATAGACAGACAAGGGGCCTGTGAGCGGTCCAAAGCCTCTGTACTGTTCCCATCTGAGTCAGCAGCACAAACAACCCCCATCAACCCTCTTTCTCCTGACCACTACACACAAGCCTTGCACCCTGATAATGAGTTGCAGATAAAACAAATGCAAAACATGGCTGACAAATGCATTATCATCGTGATAAGGCGTACGGGTATTAGAGATTTATGGTTGTTTACCCATATAACGGATCAGAATGACAACAATTATTGACAAAACAAGGCCCTACTAAGTAGAGTTGCAAGTTAGCCCTTGGTGCTCAGTAGCTTTTGTTGCAATTGCAACACAAGCAGCCCAAACATGCAATTCTCCCCTCCCCCTCCAGACTGGGGTGAGACAGGACATCTGGCAGGAGCCCCCTCCGACTAAATGACCTCCAACCCTTGTGCCTCCTCCCCCACAACTGCAAAGTCCCAAGGGATCTACCAAACCAGCGTAAACAAGGGTAACGCGGCACATGGTCACATGACATAAGTTGTGCCCCAAATCCTCTGAAATATTAACTGGTATGATATGGACACTTGCTCCATGGGGACTTATCAACAACACCTTTATACAAAATTAAAGTGCAAATAAGAATTAAAAGTTTTAAAAAATAGCTAGGTGATGTCATCAAATGTCCTAATGGAGTTAGTGGGTTAAGATTCAAGAATGTACAAAAAGAGAAACAAGCCTTAGGGTCACTTTTAAAGAGTTTAGCAAAGAAACATCTTTCACAATGTTTTGTTCCCAAATTGAGGAAATGTGCATTACACATAAAAGGCACAAAAAAAGGGAAGTCAAGACATGTATCCACAAGTCCACACCCAATTTCGAAGAAAAGAAAAAAGTAAGACTGTAGCGAGTAAAAAGGAGAACAAAGCAGTGTAAACACCATGGGTCACAACCCTCACCCCTCCTTCCTCTATGTGAGTTTTGGCACTGTTACGAGTACACTGTGTCCTCCAACGAGCATCCTCTGTAGGCAATAAGAGAAAAGAAAAGGGGTGGGTGTATTCCTACGAGCTCTGTGATAGGCTGGCCGTCTGTAAAAACAGTGAGGGGATGTGTCTAACAGCAGCTAGTGTTGCACACTCGGAGGAAGAAAAAAAAAAGTGCAGCAGTAGCACAACACAGACAAGAGCCTGCAGACATCCACTATAGAGCTGAAAATAAAAAACTCGCCCCAGGATCAAAACTTCCCTTAACAAGATTTCTAAAGAATGCCCAGTGAAAAGGAGGAACCCGTACACAATGTTTTTTCCAGTTTCCTTACATATAGCTCTTCAAAAGCATGAAAAGGCTCAGGACTTGTTCATGTGCCAAGGCATTTCATTCCTTAACCCACATCTCTAAAGTTCATAAAGTAGTAAACTAGTGCCGCCCTAGAAATGTAACTTCTTTATATTGATTACTAAACGTGGGGCCTCACACAGATAACAGGCATGTGTTATGTGGCAACTACGACATTCACAGACTTGTGATACAGGAGCACTGACTTGCAGAAATTCAAGGCGATGCATAGTCATCCATTAAGTGTGTAAGAATTGTTGCCTTCTTACCTTGACGGCATACTCCTTGTTGGTGATGAGGTTGAAGCATGTTTGCACTCTGGCATAAGCACCCTCTCCTAGTAACTCTTCATGCAGTCTGTAGACATCTGTGGCACAAAGTTTTACATGTCAAGAAAACACTACATTTTATAAACTAAAAAATATGCACAAATCAATGTTTAATGCAGAGTTTTTCTATTAAATTATAATTCTGGACAAAAAAGGCTTTTACCTTCGAATCTCCCTGAGAAACTGTCAGTTGCCCGGCAACGCTTTTTCTTCTTGTTTCTCTTCTTGGCATCGGGGATGTCGATAGGATGGCTGGAAGTTATGTCTGTCAAAATAAGAGTGCCTAAATTATAATTTGCTAGGGAAGAAACAACCTAAACAAATTCCAAGAAAGCACATAGGAAGAATAAATCAAGAGTGCTATTGTTCAAAGTGAGAACGTTTAATTGGCGAATCCAGGCTTAATGTACGAACTAGGTGCAACTAAATAAATAAGGATTACATTGTTAGAACTCTGAAAAATGACAGCTCTAAAGCACTGAATACTCACCATGTCTTGGGGAGGAATCAAAATTAAAGGACGAATCAATAAGGGATCCATTTTTAGTGCAGTCGTCAGATTCAAAGGGATTTTGGCCCTAGAGAAGAATAAACATGTGCTTGTCAAGGTATGCAATCTTATCAAGGAGCTATTTAGCTGAGAGGATCAAATGTTAGTGATAAGAGGCTTTGTTATCTCATGTAAAACCATAATGTAGATTCAAAACAGGAAAACAGCCGATTGGTGGACACTTGCAAGCAAGAACATTTGATTTCCAACCTCAAGTCAGCTAAAATGTGTCCAAAATAACCAAATAACAATCTTGCTAATTATGCAAAAGGGACACATATCCTGACAGTTCTTTAACCTACACGTGCACCAGGCCACATAGACAGACATTAGTGGGTAGGCAACAGATGTGTTTATATATAGCGATGTGAGGTCCTCTCATACAAGCTGACAAATCTGCTCTCTGATTATAGAGTCTTCCCAAAAAGCATGATGATAGTAGATCTGCATTTCCCCCTGAACAAACCTCAAACTCACCTTGAAAGAGCGATGGAACCCAGTGATTTCGGTGATCTTATTTTGAACCATTTTTGCTTCGATTTTGGATTTTTGGTGGCGGCAGTGGTTTTTGGGATATCAATTTGCACTTCTCCGAAACAGAAATATCGTTTCAGAGAGAGTCGCAAGTGATTTCACTGCGCTAGCTGGTCAGCTTGATGCGGCGCTTTGAACGGGAGCCCTGTGGACAATACAAAACACCGCGTTACAACCCATATTACAACAACAAGTCGCTTACTTATAGCTAGAATAAGCAACGTTTCACCAACTTTAGAAGAATATGAATCCGACTTTTGTATACCGACGTTAGCTAATATCCTTCACGTGTTCAAGGGGTAATACAAACAGTGCAACAACAACAGTGATAGCCAACTGCAGCGCCACCCACTTAACGTTAGCTGTAAGGTTGGTTACAGCCGTTTAAAAAGCCAATTTAAGACATACGTCATTACAATATCTACGTTTTGGTAAGATGAACAAATATGTCGGAAAGCACCCCTGTTTTCAGTTAACGGTAGAGGTTGCTGCAGCGGTGACGTTCAGCTAAAATTAACACTAACGGACAGATGTACATTTAACTTCAGACAACAACGGTTAGCGACAGTTAATGGCCTAACGTTGAAAACGGTCGAATTTAAAAAACAAAAATCTCAGATAAGTAAATGCTATCATGAGCTACTTTGTTTACTCACCCCGTAGTTGAATTTACAGCTCCAGTGTTAGCGTCGTTGTCTGACCTACTGCTTCAATAGCCGCAGAGGACGGTCAAGGGAGATATCGCCGGATAGTGAGTGCTTGGAAGGTGGTGAAGGAGTTACTGCGTAGGTGCTTTTATAACCTCCCCGCTGACTCCTCCTTGTCTCCTCCCTCCTCAGGACTGCACCAACAGACGGGATGCATCACGTATCTTCTAGAAACGGATATGGTGGCTTGATACCATTTGGTATGGCTGTAACACCTTCACCTCGTCTCAAGCTAAGAATAGCTGCTCAGCGTGGTGCAAAATACGTAAAAAATACATTATTCAATCAAGTTTGTCACATAGATAGTTCAATGTTGACCTAGGTGAACATCGGAACACATTTCAGGAAAATGGTAAGTACCAAAGTTGTGACACACGAAATGGAACCCAGCCAGTGAGCTGTTTTTCGTTCTAGAGGCCCACCATGGCATGTATGGAGCATGGTATGGAGGAGCTAAACGGCGAGTTCGTGCCGTACGTGGCGTGCCCATCAACACTGACCGTCATGACTGAGACCCTACGGCTGATCTGCAGAAAGAGATCTAAATGGAGGTGGAGAGGGACGCCACTGTTGCAACATGTACACCAGTTTACATTATTGACATCAAGGCCCATTAAAAATAGGATCAAGCACACACAAGAACACTTAGTCAGCGTTGTGCTGTTTGTGTTAATGATATAAACACAAACAGACCACAACATAAACATTATTTTGCATTTTTGAGAGGATAAACCCAGTTGAAATGCATTTCGTTAAATGTGCATGAAGATATTATGGAAAATAAAATAGACATTATTTGAGCTACTTGGTCTACTTTAAACCCACATTTAAAGCAAATACAGTTAAGAACAAACATATTTAAAAAAGCAGCAAAATAAAATTGTTGAACATGTCTGACTTGTTGTGTGTCTCAGAAATGTAACGTTTAAAAAACAAACATTTATAGCACCCTAAACATTATTCTCACACCCAGTGGTGAATGGCCATGACCAGATGGGTGTTCAAAGAAATCCCCGTCTGAGTCACTCAGACTGGGGCCGTGGCATGACATCAGCTACTGTGGCCTTTCAGTATCACATTAACAAACATACCCTCATGCAATCGAGAGAAAGAGTCAGGTGTTCAAATACTCATAATGCAGGCAGAATCAGTGACTCCTGTCAGTTGTTGTATTGTAATACTGGCAAGTTATTGCAGATGACTGTCTGTGTATGCATTTTTGATAAAGTAAAGCCACATTTGTATTTGTTGTTTAATGTCAGGTTGGAATGTACCTCAGAATAAGAATTCCTTTATTAGTTCCACAGAGAGGACATTTACAAACTGTGCAAAGCATTTGAGTAAATGCACTTGGTTACTTTCCACAACTGGATACATTTACAAAATATCTCCAATATTTGGATATAAATCCCACAATTAATAGATTTTAAGGGTATTTGCTTTGGGAAATTAAACAGTTTTGATACTTTCATTTTCTTAATTTTGAAATGTAATGTAATGAAAATATTTTAGCATTGGTTATTGACGAAGGAGGTGGGCACAGTGGCCAGTTGCAGCCCTCGACACATTTTGTTACTTGTGATACTGCATAGATGGCACGTGTTGTAGCCTGATGAGCAGACTGTTTTGAAGAGGGTGCAGACGCTGTATCACAGTTGTGATAATGAAAGAAATCCAAGAACTCTGATGAAAAAACCCATCTGCTTAATGTGAGATGCCAAAGCAGTATTGCCACATACATGACAAGCATACAGTATTTCCAGAGATGAAAATAAATGTTTTTTAGACAGAGGCACAGGAGAGGGATTATAAACTCCTTTGTTATCTCATTTTATATTATTCTTTGACATGAATCCCCTCAATTAAGTTTAGATACTGATAATAAAAACAGACCACATGTTGAATTACAGTATGTGCCAATACATTTTAGTGCTTTATTGTACCAATTGCTTTGTTATCAGACTGTACAGTAAGTCCTCTTTCATATGCATTTAATCCCTTGTCCACAGACATATTCATTTATTGTTTATCAAAGGTGTTCAAAGGAAAACCATGTACGTGTTTTTCAGGACCCGGCTGTCTTGTGACCGGAGGCTTTCTGCCTCTTCTCCTCCTTTCACCTTCTATCCCTCACACATAAACTCAATGGCAGCAAACATTACGCAAGATGTTGGCTGACTATCCTTAGCCAGGAGCACATGGTGTAGCCGCAGGTTTAGCAGGAAAACAAGATCACACGTTGAAGTAAGAGGGGGCGGGCCTGTGTCACTAAGGTCATAAGGAAGTGGGATGGGCCATCATAAATATCTTCTGGGGGCAACAAGCTCATTTCTGACATGAATGGCCCTCCTCAGGAGATACTCAGGAGGAGGGGGGCTCTGTTTTCACGCAGAGGTTATTCCAGTTTGAAATTCTACAGGGGTGTGTTTCTGTTGTTGTCCTTGTACAGAGGTTAGTCTTGATACTGTATAGAGTTGAAGCTGCAGGTATTTCTGCAAGTACGTGTACATCTGCATCATTTCCAATTTTACAAAACTATGTTCTCAAATCTACTGAGTGTCCCCACACCATGCATAATGTATGTATGACACTGTCGGAAACCTTAAAGCTACTTAGTAAGAATTAAAAAATATAATGAAAGGTACTAATAAGACCCCTAAATGCTGAGGATCCTCTGTACAAAGTCCAACCTTACATATATGACCATGTCATAGTAAAAACCTACACTGATACAGCTTTGTTAGTGGATAGAAGTCATTTTGGTTGACATGTTGAAATGAACATTAGTTTGAGCCAGCAGGATTATTTGCAAGAACAATCCTGTATCTATTACAAAAAGTACTACATGCTACATACATGTGTCTGTGCACGTGACGTAGAATGTTGTTGATCTTAACTCTATTCATTATTAGCACCTGCCTGGCACGCCAAATAAAACGGGCGAACACGACATAATGTGCTAGAAGCAAACAGCCATGTCTTACAGTACACGGTTGCAATAAGTTGCATACTTTTCTCTAGTGGGAGGTGCTGGTCATACCCTTTCCAAGAAAACTCCCAGAGCAAACTTCCTAGAAACAAGTACCCTGCAGTTTGGAAAGCCAAACATCTGGTTGGGAAAATCTATACCTTCTATGTATTACGTTGGAAAGAAGCCATACTGGAGCACTGATATGAATCCAATATTTAGCCAAACTCCTTAAACACAGAAAGAGTTACCAAGCATTTGGCAACAACATTTGTTTTGTTTCGACTTGGTTCCCGGGAACACCTTCTTTAAAAAAAAAAATCAGAATGTGCTCTTGTTACGTAACATAACAAAGCATTTTGAAAACAGTCATGTTTTAAATTCTTAGAATCTCCATGCAGATTGGATAATACATCAACAAATACAGTCTGCAACTTGTCAGCACACAGCTGAAATGTTATTTCAATATTCTTTTGGGGCTGGGCTGCAGTGGTTGTCACTATTTTTAATTTATGAATGTCTAATAAAGTTTAAGTGGGTACATGTTATAGATCATCACGCGTTCGCTCTTTTTAAAAACCAGTGGTGTAAGATGACATAGACATGGAAATGTTTTAGTTTGTTATGTAAACATGTGACATTTTAGTGTGTCTTTATGGGATCATTGTGACAATCAGGGATGCAACCAACTATTTCTTTCAGGGTTTATTTTCAGTTTTCTTAATTTATTGTTTGGCCTGTTAAACTGCATCCTCTTCAGCGTGAAAAATCCCCTAAATGTTATGATCACTTTCCTTCCTAAACTAGCTACAGCTTTACACGTGGTGAACAACTCACAAGACACAAAACCGTTAGGGTGTGTGCTTGAACATTTGCCGAGTCACATTATCTCCCAAACCCTTTACTCTGTGCAAATAATCACACTGTTTCATCAAAACTGCTGTTTACACACTGACAGAGCTGGACACGCTCCAGTCTGATTGGCTGCGGACTGAGCTCCTTCCCCCTTTTCTTGGCCTCTTTCCAGTACTTTCCTTCATCTTGCAACCCCTTCAGGGGCAGTCTGGTACATTCCAGAAGAGAAAAACACAGCAGAGGGATCGAAGAGCAAAAGGCGGGTACACACGTAACACCAACTTCGAGTACAGTGGAGAGTTGAGGAAGTGACTCCACTTAGAGGGACAATCCTGTAAGAGGATCAGGTTTCAGCAGGAAACCAGGTCATCACAGTGCTTTATGGTATTGGGGCAGAAAGTTACATTACGTTTATTCAGATGTGTTATTCATAATAAAGTGGGAATTAAGAATGGCAATTACTGTAGAAATAATATATCCTACGGGATGGAATGTAACAAAGTACATTTACTGAAGTGCTGCAATTTTGAGGTAGGCCTACTGGTTTTTATTCCACTACTTCTATGGCATACCTCTTCTTCTTTGCTCCATTTCATTTTGCTTTACTTCTTTATGTCTAAAGATGTCATAGTTGTATGGCTTCTTCCAGTGTATCTTGTTATTGTGTTATTTGTGAGGTGTTTCCTTTGTGAATAATTGATCCTCATTGTTCACATAATCCATCCATTATGACTGTCAACTTCTAAACCAAACCAACAAGGTTGTTCTCAAGATTTTCCATGACCATTGTTGACCCGATCATGCAGAGCCGGCCTCACTCAAAACAAACTCTCTATGCATTCTGCTCAACTCAGTCTGGCATGTTGCTTGCATAACCAGCTTGATCCAATCATTAACTCCAGTCAGTTCTAGAAATACGCAATTTCCTCTTCATGACAATAACTGGGACATTGGGCAGATTGCATAAAGCCTCTTACATTAAACTGTAGGATTAGTTATGTTCTCACTATATACGGTTATGGTGTCTGATGCCACCCAGTGGACAGATTTATATTTAGTCTTTTAAAAGTGCCAACAGTTAAGGCAGTGAGGTTTGAGTCTCGTGTGACCTTCAGCTGCAACCAACACCTACAGGTTGGTCATCTGAGAACCGGCCTGTTGGCCCGCAGCCGAAAGTGTGCAATGAATCAGACTTGATAATGTCTGAGTCACCAGCAGACCAATACTCTATTATTTGTTTATTATTATCTGTGTGTAACTTAATGTGTGTATAACCAAATTGATTGTAACATTTGTACAAAAATACTAAATTACTACATTGATTGTTCAGATGCGAGTGATTAAACCTGAGACTAAAGTAAAAACGTAATAGATTTGTTTAGGTCGTAGCCCGGCACTATAAGCTTCAGAAACAAATGCCAGTCAGTGTGAATTTAAATACTGATTACCAAAGTCAATTTATCACAGTACAGAACCATTTTGATGTAACAACATAGTGATTTTTATATAGTACAGTAAGAATTCATACTAATTTTAGATTGTTTTACAGACAAATAGACAAAAGCATCCTGGAATGATTGAGATTCAAATAAAATAAAAAAACATCGAGACAAACATACACCTCTTAATACTTTGCTCTGATAATATGTTTGAAAACGCTTTAAAAGGAACAGAAAGCCTCATCTCACAAGCTTAAAACCTACAGTATGTGGCTAAAATAGATTACAGTACTTAAATATAAAAATAGACTCTTTTTCTAATTTGTTTGTTCTTTTAGTTCTGCAGTCTTCTTGATGGACGGATGAGATTGTCCGGTGTGTCAACCGGTCAGTTCTGTCCCTTCAGTGACACATCCGGGAAGTCATCTCTTTCTGCAGACATGAGACACACAGAACTCAGAGTTAGAAAATACAGACATTTTTTTTTTAGATGTTACCACACTTTAGGATGCAATAAGCAGGTTATTTATATATAACTGTAAGCTTATGAAGATAAGATATTGAATGAAAGCAACACATACACAAAGCAAAGCAACATATTGAGATGTACTAATGTTGGGGCTAAGAGAAGCTACAGCACATCAACACAGTACAAGACAATGCTGGGTATAGCAAATAATACAGGTCAAAATATCTGCACACTAATCTCTAGGGATGTGCTAAGAGTCCTTTTCATTTTCTCTAATGCTTCTTTTGGGGGTTATCGAATGAAGCTTTGAATGTGTGTTGTCATTTTTTTTTTTAACCTGCTGTTAAAAATGTTGCTAGACTGCCCCCCCTTGTGTGCAGCAAGCACTACAGCAAACTGTTTTTTGGTCCCTGAAACAATTATGAAAAGCTAAACACAGGCTAATATGGATATAGATAAAAACATGTTCTGAATTTTGGAAGAGAATATTTCCCTTTTCTTAATGGATTTTGAAACTCTCTGGAGTTATTGGAAATATTTGGATCACACAAGGCGGAAAAAGTCCTAAGCAGCCACCGCAGGAATCAAATTCTGCAAACAGTACAATACTAATAACAGAATGAAAAGAAAATGCAAAAAAAGAAACTGCGCAGCATTCCTATGTTGATTTATAATAAGAATGTCAACGTTATGAATGAAGCGTCAAACCATGCGTGCAGCCCTGCTAATCTCCATAGCAAACATCCAGCTTATTGTCTAAGACTTTGGTCACACGGGCCTTTGTTACAGTTTGACACATGCCCAACACACACAGAACTTAGAGACTCCCACAATGGGTGGAGGGGTCAGAGGCAATCAATAGACAATCAGCAAACAATCAATCACATTATAACATAAATTGGGGCAGTACAATAATCCATGACTGATTCATGAATTTCAAGGACCTATTGTTAAAATATGATTTATAGAGATCCTGAAAAGAAATGTAAGTTGCTTAATTTGGGAACAAACATATATATATGTCTGTATGAAATTGCATGGTTTATTATAATTGCAACAAAAAGATCCAGGGTCTTGTTTGACATAAGTGACCTTGTAAGTTTTGCTGCTTACAGATTGCGATGCATCCTGTTTCACAAATGATTGTCTCAGGCAAGTTGCTGATAAATGTGAGTCCTACCAGGCTCTTGTATGCTCATGTATGGTTTACAAGTACATTTTGTCTGATATGTTATGTCTCAAAATGTCAACAAGAGGAAATTATCTCATTTTGTAAATCCCCATCAATGACTTTTTATTTAAAGGGGACCTATCATGCAAAATGCACTTTTGTACGTCTTTTATACATGAATATGTGTCCCCGGTGTTCCAGGGAACTCACCAAGTGTCAGAAAACACAACCCTCTCTATTTTCCTCCATACCCAAATCTCTAAAAAAGGGGCTGCAACGGATCTGATCAAAACTGATCCAGATTTGAACACTGTCCTGACGTCAGGACAGTGGCGCTACGGCTATTGGGCCAACTCCACCAATCAGGAGGAGACAGCAACGGCCATTGCCGTTCTAAAGCGCTGGAGACGCTGTAGTACATATGCCAGGCCTCTAGATGGTGCTGTTGCTCACAGAATCTGCCCTTGCAAAAACAGAGCTAAAAAATGTCAAATTGAGCAAAATGAGGCATGGCTAAAATGCATGATCTGTTTGGTATTTTGAAAAAAAAAAAGTATAAATATGCCTTATATAGGTATGGTCCTATACTATATTATTCAAATATAGCATGATAGGTCCACTTTAAGTTTGTATACCATCTGTAAAATGCACAATGTTAGGTAGTAAGTAAAATAAAAAGTACAAGTGATCTTTGATTACTGGCGTCTTAAAATAAAAAACAACACTGCTACACCTACTTTATGAGGTTTTTGAAATTCAATATTTTAAACATGATCTAGTTTTTGTGTCAGCTCCGTCACTCACCAGAGGCTCCAGCTCTTTGTGGTCCGTGAGGTTGAACTCAGTGACAAAGTAATAGAAATGCTTATAGCAGGTATTGACGTGAGCCTCGGCCCCCATCTGGCTCACACGGTCAAAGTGGTGGATGTAGACGTGAACAAACACCCGGAACAGACGAGACAAAATCTTCTTAGCCACCTGCATGAAGGTCTTAGGGAAGGGAGTACCTGCGGGTCAGACAGATAAAGACGAGACAACACTGAGGTCAATCCAGCATGACCTTTTGACATTTGCTTCACAGAGAGGAACACATTTGAAATCCTGATGTGTTTAATGCAATAGTTACAGAATATTTACTGAGTTGAAACTTTCAGTGTGTGTCTTTGTCCTATGGAATCCCTCAGGTATGATACCAGCATACTGAAGGGGCCCAGACAGTATCACCACATAAGCAAATGGAAAATCAACATGGCTTAGTCTGTGTGATAAGCCTCTGATCTCACCAAGTGATTCATTTAGTATGTCGTTTTGCTTTAACTAATTCAATAATATTTCAGGAATCTGTTCCAGAGGGCACACGAGTCAGATGTCGTCTAATTATAGCCTCCTGTATACTGTGTGACCCATTTTTTAATCCATTGCTTGGATGTTTCTGTAGTTAGTCAGATTGCGAGCCACAGCAAAGGTATGCAAACAGATACAGAATGAGATAATGAGACACCGTCAATGCCACAGCAGCATAAAGGTTTACAAGTCATGTTTGTAATGTGCAACACTTTGGGTAACGTTATGAATTTGGCCTCCAAGATTTAATCTAATACATATTTTGGTTATCTAATAGAGTGAATTCAGATTTTTAAATGCCTTCACTCTGCATAATTGTATCTGTACCTCATTTTAACTTTGCAATGCATTCATTACATGTTTTTTATTATTTAAAAACGTTTTATTTTGGGATCTTTACTATGACTAGTGCTGGCATGAGTAGTCAATTGAAAGAAATACTAAAAATGTTTTACTCTTTTAGTTCTTCTGTTTTTCTACCTGGCATTTTTAAATAGCCAAACTGCCGTCAATACTAGCAAAGGTCCCAGGTTTATATTTGAATAGCGGCCTGCAACTCTACGGTGTGAAAGACGTTCTGTTTGTTTGCAGAAAGGATTCAGCGAGAGTTGTTTTTAAGATGACGTCACGTCAGTTTCACGCGTCTATGTTACGTGGATGAGCTGACAATCCTGCCTACACTGGAAGGTACTGTGGAGTGGAAAAACAAAATAGAGAACAGCACCTGGTACGAAAGAGATTGAAGTCTATTCTAGCAAATGCGTATCATGCAGTGGAAACACAACATAATATTTGCTCTCTACAGGTTCATGAACCTCTTTAAAAACAGAACTACCTCTACTTGTAACCCAGTTGCAGGCAGTACGTCTACCAGTTATGACCAGTTCAACCAAGTGAGAGTCCCCACAATCTACATTTTCTTTATTTTACAGGACAAAAGTAGACCTTAGAGGGAAATCTGAATAATAAATCTAACTTTGTGAGGCATAAATATGCTCCATTTTACTCTTCTGTTAGTTGTTTTGTGACCCTTCATGTATCCTGCCAGCCATTGTGGGGGTCCCGACACCAAGTTTGGGGACCACTGGGTTACAAATCTCAACTGTGAGGACCTGAATCATTATTTATCAAACATCACTGGGGGCTTTACTGTTGTAAATCACTTTGAAAATGTTGTTATTCTGGATGGGCACTGATCATTATCTGTGGACCAGAATAGGAACTAAAATAGCCTATGGTTGATTTAATTGATGTGAGTAATAGCTGGTCAATGCCCTCTTTTGGCGTTACGAGTCTGTGAACATTGTTGATTTGTTGAGTTGATTATCAGATTCAGGGATTTGAACCAACCGCCTAATATTCTTTACAGCAGCCTTGTTGAATGTTGACAGCTAAGATACATTTTACTCTTTGATAGGACACGCAGAAACCAAAAACCTGTGACCTAATTCTGGATCTCAGCATGAATTTAGAGTTTACCACACTAAAGTCTTAACACCATAATCTCAACACTTACCGACATTGGTGGGGAAGATGTTCTCATTGTTGACTTGTACCTCAATCCAATCCATGAGCAGACTCATGTATTTGGGGGCCGACAGGGCTGTCGGTCTCTTGTATTTGTGCTCGTCCTGCCAGCGGTATTCGTACCTGGGCCCTCCGGACATGACGGGGCAGGTTTGATCGGTGCAGGAGTCGCTGATGGTGCCGTAGATGAGGTTAATGCGGTTGAAGAAGTCTACCACGTGGACGGCGACCCAGTCGTTGAGGTCCTCGCCGTGGGGCAGCTGCACGGCCATCTTCAGGTCCAGCCCCGCGTTCAGAGACGCCTGGGCCTTCTTGTGCAGGTCGAAGCGCTGCGTCCCGGGCTCAAACTTGCGCTTGGGCCGGAATGTCCTGTCTTTGTTGAAGACTTGTTTAAGAGCCATGGACATTGTTGAGTGAGGCAGAGTCAGGCGATTAGTTTGAATGCTTTGTGTGTGTGTTATTTACTGTTAAAAAGGTTAAAAGGTTGTTTAAACAACCAGGGCAGAGTTTGTGTTATCAACTGTCTTCTGGTATTTGTTTCGAGTCAGTGTGTGATCCTGCATATGACAAAAGGAGGGAAGAGAAAGAAAGAAAGGAACAAAGTTTTATTAATAGAAGTATATTTTCGCTTAAATACATACTTTTTATCAAGAATTATTTGAGTTTACAACCTATTCCTCCTGCATCACAAAACTATTTCAATCTATAGCTGCAACTTCAACTGTTCTCATTATTGATACCTCTACTGTACTGATATTTTTTACAGAGAAATCATATTTATCATTTGTCATATCAGAGAAAAGAGAGACAACTTTCCATCACAATTCCCAAGAGTCAAAGTACCTGAACAAAAGCAGCAAATCCTGAAATGTAAGAAGCCTGAACTTGGTAATATTTGGCATTCATGCTTCAATACCTAAATGATTTATAAAGGATATAAATACTTCTACCTCTATTACTGATGTGTATTAAACATGTAATACATGCTGGCTTTACATAACAATGGCATCTGTGTTCCAGTTGTTTCATTGTCTTGGGCCTAGAGTTGCTTGCAGAGATGCATCAAAGTATAAAACACTCACACACCTTCTTAGGAAAATATAAATCCTAAATATCTTGAGAGCTGGCATGAAAGGTGGAGGTCATGTCAACCTCTTTTAACCTTTTTTGTATTCTACAACACATAAATACATGTGAAAGCTAATGATTATCACGAAACGCCGACGTTTTTACTTCATTATGATTTTATCGAGGCACTACATTGAGAAGAAGTGATGAAGCCAAATGCATTGATGGCAACCTGAACATCCAAGGTAGACGTGAAGTCTCAACAGAGACAGAAGCTTGCATTAAAGATGAAACATCGGCCTGAAGTGAACATGAGTCATTTCCTATTTCAGCCACTCATTCCGCCGTGAAAAACCAAGAATCCACGGAATGACAATAAAACCAAGTCACACGTCTACCACCCATATAACAGAGCATTACAAGCTTTATTCATACATCTATCTAAATACGACACCGTAATCTTCACAATGATGCGGACTTTAATTCGTTTTAAGCACACTTTCAAGGATAAAAGAGATTAAACAGCGGGGCACATGACGACTGTACGAAGTTTATTCGTGACGCGACATGCTAACTCGGGCTGACTTGTTGCTTTCTAAAGCAGCTACACACATAGAAAAGACAAACCCCACGTTATTCATACTAAGGTAACATCACATGTTAATAAAAACCATATGGAAGCATGTATTACATTAGACGGACGATGAAACGGTGACGAAATCGCATAGTTGAAACAGCACTTTCACGAACTTACTTGTTCCGCCTTCCTGTTCCGCTCACTTTGCTTCGATCTTTTCTTATAGGAGATTATCTGGTTACCAATCAATAGTTTTAAATCTACAGCATGCACGACCTACATTATGGATACGTGATACATGATGAATAATTACTGCTAATTCAATAAACATCTCACTTTAATAAAAGAAACTAATGTCTGACTCCTCCCTACCAAACGAAAAGTACACCAGTGTCGAGTTAAATCCGTCGGTGGCTACTTCCGGGCAGGACCTTCAAAATAATGCAACCCTTTGAACATTGTAATTTTGTGTTAAATCTCTTTATTGTAGAAATCAACTCTTACAATATTTGACGTTGAAAGACTGAAACCATTTAGTCATTATGACGAAATAAGGATAGCATAACAGGCATGACTCCACTCTTAACACGAGGACACATTCAACATGGTTGCATTACATAAATTAACTGAAAATCATTATTTTTTAAGAGAGAAAATAAATCATTAATATATAAATAATAACTTTCCATCATTTCCATATCGACAGTACACTTAACTTTGTGTTCCACCTTAATTGAGCATTTATTCTAAACATAATTCGGGCTTTTAGTAAGAATATTATTTATTTGTTTATGCATTTAGGAAGTCATACAACCATATTAATCCCTTGCTTACTTTTATGTTAATAATGGTTGTTGTCGAATACATTGCCATTTACTTTTACTCAAGTACATTCTAAATGCCTCAACTCGTCATAGATCATCTTTCAATTGTTGTATTCAATGTTTACTAATCAAAGCAATTGAGATCTCACTCAACACAGCGCTTGAATGCAACATGCAAAGTTGTTAATGCTAATTATGCCTAATGCTATCCGACAAAACATTACGCCATTACTTTGAAGAGTAATCCTTTAACTTCCGGTGTCGCGTGCCCTTCGTTGTTGCCTGGCAGCTTAAGGGGGCAGAGAACAGAATCATAATAAACCACAATACATCATGGTTGGATTATTGACAGGAAAATACAGGAAACTCTGCTTTAAAGTCGTTTAAATGGTTCAAGATTAATGTGTATTTCAAACCATAATGCTAATGTCCCTTTTATTTATACTGATTATTTATTTACTTTGAAGGATACCGTACAAATGATCATAAAACTGCTATGTTTCTCCATACAATTCTGGAAACGATTTACATTTTTTCTATTATTTTAAGGCAAGGCTACATTAAACCTGTCTAGTGCTTTTCCAATGTAGATGATCCAGATGAAGAGCTTTGCACATGTGTACAAGGCATGTTTCAAATACATTATTCCCCATATATGTCTGCCATAGGTTGAAACATCTGGAACATCCCTGTGCAAGTCAGCAGAAAGAGTAATCAAGGACTATATAGTTACATTGTTATGTGTTCTATTGTATTACTTCATAATATCTAAAAAACAAAAGTGCATGTAGGTCTATCTGATTATGAACTCCACGTTTAACCATGTGTAACAGGTTAACAGATTTAATCATTGACTTCTGTTCTAGCAATTTCTTTCTACATTATTTGGCATAAAAAAGATACTGTGAAAAACCAATTGGATACGCACTATACTCCCATTATACTCCAAAATACCACAGTATAAAATTAAATTGTTCAACAATGCAAAGATGTCGAAACTTAACATTCAAATCATGATAGACAGACAGGGAGACACAGATCCTTTTTACATGGCCGACCTACTGAAGTCCAATTTACAATGCACATTTATTATCATCGAGGCCTGTTTAGCTGAATTGGTACAGCAGTTGAAGCTGGTCAGTGTGCACTGTTCATTGTTTGGGATCTTTAATGGCCGGTTGAAAGGATGCTTTGTGCAGCATGGGGACAGAATGTGCCTTGTTTCTGTCTACTTGATAGGGGCTGCAGCTCCCTCAGGCGTGGCTGCAGCTCCCTCAGAAGTGGCCTTGTTCGATATGGAGTAATGGTAAGACCTCATGGACTCCTCAACCTTCTTGAAGTCAGGACGCTCCTCATGCCTGGGGAGAGACGAAGGATAGGATCAGATGTTTGAAGGCTTGTGATTAGAGGAAGGCAATGCAGCAAGATGAGGTCACATTACTGTCTGACGCTGACCGAATGTCAAATACAACACATGACATGGTACATTGTCTTTAGTTCTGAGTGAGGAAGGTAATGTCCTTCAGCCCCAGCAGTCATGCTTTAGACTTGATAATAACACAATAACTGATTCCGTTGCTGCAGTGCATGACTGTTCATTTGCTTGATAAAAGCAACATTGTGCTGCACTCTTTAGATATCTGCTATCAGGCTTTTGTTCTGGAGCCCTGGCTTGAAAATTGAAGATATTTCTATATTCCACCACATTAAGGCATTTTTTTTACAGTATAATGGAGCACTGAGGTGTGTGATTCAATTCATTCACATTTCCCAGACTGTGAAAATAACATCCCCAAACTTTTAGTATACAGAAAATAGTAACTCTTAAAAGTCTGATATTGATTGAAGCAATTAAAACAGTGAAAGTGGAAGTTTCAGATATAGGAGTTTTAGGACGAGGGTATTTTTATTTTTATTATAACAAGGACTCATTGTTGTATCTGTGATGATGGCTTTGTGTGACTGAATTGTCTTTATGTGTATGTATTGTAAATGTAACATGTAAAGTTGCACAAGCATCACATGATCACTTTCTTACTTGTATATCCAGCATTCTTTCATCACTGTATACATTCGCTCAGGACACACGGCTGGACAATCCATGCGGCTTCCACTGTCAATGAAGCGCATCACCTCTGGGCCTTTCATTTTCTAGACATAATTGTGACACAAAAAAGTTGTAATTCCATTTAATATGTAATGTAATTGATAGATGACTTTGATTGTGCTCTGGTACCTTGTAAGGTTTCCCTCCGAAGGAAAAGGCCTCCCACATTGTGATACCAAAACTCCACACATCGCTTTTACTGGAGAATTTGTGGAAGTTGATGCATTCTGGAGCGTACCACTTCAGAGGCCATTTACCTGCAGTACGAGCCTGAACAACACAACAGGTACGACAAAAAGCAACATGTAAATGAGAGGCTGCCTGCATCAGTATTGATAATTATAGATAACAATCTTTATTTAAAGAGCAAAGGACTTTTAAGCGCTTTAACGATGGGCAAGGGATGCTGAAAGATTTGATCATTTACATTTTGGCCTGCAACTTTTCTTAACATTAAAACATTTGGTGATTTGTACTTTAGTGACATTTAACATTATTGAACAATATCAGAGCAGAAGAAATATCCAATAGTTAGAGAAATAACATACGATAATAACAACTTTCTCAGCTATTTAAATATGTATCTGTAAGTCCAACACAGGCCAGTATAATTTCACTTGGTATTGATATTATTTCCCATTTTTCTTAATTGTATTATCTCCTTTATTTTGTGATTTATTTTGAGTCTTTACTGATGTATGCTGTGCTTTGCTATTGACTTTGAGAATAAAGTGCAGTATAATCACTCATTTGTGCTTGCCTGGTTATTTAAACATGATTGTGTATTTTATTGTTGTGTTTTATGTGTTTGTTGTAAAGAAACTCTGTAACATCTAACATTTACCTTGTAATAGTTGTCGTCTGCTCCAAGGGCCTTGGAGAGCCCGAAGTCACTGATTTTGGCAAACTGTTTGTTGACCAGCAGGACGTTACGAGCCGCTAAGTCTCTGTGCACAAAGTTCTTCTCCTCCAGATACTTCATTCCCATCGACACCTGGTGCATCAGGTTCACAATGTTCTCCACGCTGACTGTGTCCCTGTGGTGACCAAAACACTGATTGTCACAAAAATCAGGAGATGACGAGGAATATTCATTCCGTTTTTCTCTTTTAGAACTGTGTTTTGTCCATATCCAAATCAAAGTTCGGACGATAGATGGGCTTGTATGACACTTTATTCTAACCATGGGGTACTACATTAATCTGAGGAGATAGAAGAGATTTGAAATATTTGATACTTTCACCACCATCTTTCAAATGCAGCCCTTTGAGAAGGAGAAATCACTCTTTAAACTTATAATAACATTAAGACATGTCTGTAAAGAGGACGAGTGGACATTGCTGGCAAAACTGTTATTTATATAAGTATAATAAAAAAGACTTTACTAGTTCCCCTACTAAGTATTATAAAGTAAGAGGAACAACTGATCAATATCAAATATGTCCATTTTAATTCATTTCTTATTTTATAGTTATTTATAATTTTTAATTTCTATCTTTGATTTTACCCTTAATTTTATTAATCTGTGTGAATCTGTGCTGTCCTGTTTTTCAATCTTACCCTGTTGCTGTTAAACTACTGAGTTTCCCCACGGGGATAATGAAGGTCCATCTTATCTTATCTTATTTTGTATTTTTTTAATGATCAGAGGCGTTACATATATATACATACATATGTTTAACTTACTTATTTGCGGAGAGGAACTTGTGGAGAGGCCCGGCAGAGGCCATCTCCATGACCAGCATCAGGTTCTCGGCGTTGCACAGACCCAGAATGCGGACGATGAAGGGGTTGTTGAGCTGGTGCATGATCTCTGCCTCCCTCATCATCTCCTCTCTCACCAGCTTCTCATTGTCACTCTTTAGTACTTTGATGGCCACATCAAACTGGCCCCTGAGAGCACACAAACAACAAAACATTGTGGATTTACTCAAGAGACAGTGCATGGGCTACAGTACAGCTGCTTGCAAGACCACTTCTGGGTTTATTGGTCAAACTTGTTTTGTTTCATAATGTTTAAGTCCTCACAAATCAGTCTTGAAGACTCCTTTCTTGACGAAGCCAAAGTTCCCTGAGCCGAGCTCCACTTCATCGACCAGCAGCTGACTCCTCTGGATGTTGAACTTCCTCACTTCATTTGGGTTGTGATACGGGTTGAATACCTCGCAGTCCATCGGCAGCACCTCACGGTCTGCAGGCACATTGGTGGCCAGATTCGATGCTGAGGGAGCAAACCATATAGGGTTGAAACCCAATTTCTGACAGGTTTAATGCTGTACATGCTAATGAACTGCTGAGAGAAGATACATCGTTTTTGAGATGTTTTTCTGTGTTTTCTTTAAAAAAAACGCTCAAAAAAGATTGTGTGTGATTCTGTGAAGTTTTGAAATAGAGCTGCAGTAACTCTAAAATGTTTGTAAGCATGATGAGTATTTTTTTTTTTACAGTTTTAGGGCACTTAAATATTGTACTTTCTACTCCACTACAGTTATTTGAAAAGTTAGTTATTTTTCAGATTACGTTTTTACCATCAAAATATATGATCAGTAAACCATATGGTGCTTTGCCAATATTAAACCAAACAAACAGAAACCATTTCATGCATAATGAGTCATTAAAGTACATTTTATACTATTAATACTGCTTTAAATGTATTTTAATAGTATCACTTGTACTTGTCATAGAGAATCTTTATCCTTTTGTATTGTTGCTTTTCTAAATAAATATCTATTGATTATTTTAGTTTGGAGCATTTTTATTTGATTATTTATTGAATAGTACGGCGTCCTGGGTGTCGTGAAAGGCCCCCAAATACAATGTATTATTATTTTGTTCAGTTTTATGTATTTCAAACATAGGGAGAGACATTAGAAACAAGCTTAGGTTATAACTTCTCCTGTGGTGTTTGGTGTTTGTCCCTAAAACAATCCTCTTAAATGAAAGTAACTTTGCTGCAAGTGCATTTAACTGAGCATTTAACTGTGTGGTGTGAGTAAGTTGTACTTCAGGTGACTGACCATGAGGGGGCGGTGTGTATCCATTTGCTGGAGCACGCCTCTGAAAAAGTGACATTCAAATTAATCTCAGAGAAAGAATAACATGCTGAATTTAACAATGCAGGTTGTACTCAGTACTTACTGTTGTAGGAATATTAGGAGTCTCTGAAAGGTTGTTAAGAGAAAAATATGTATATCATTAGTTTCAGTAGTAAGTGTAATGATCAACAAGGTTAAATGTTACAAATAACACACAATCATGAACTGGAAACGCAGTGAGGGCTAGGGTTACGGTTTCGCAACAATTACAAAATGTTAACACGACTGTGAAAAGGAAATCAAATGTTCAGTACTTGCAGCGGCTTTGCCATTTAGGCACGCCTCCCTGAGATTAGTCATCAGGCCATCAGCTTTCATCTTCTGGTATTCAACCAGCTAGAGAGATTAAGAGAACATTACATTTTAAATAAAACATGAACACCATAAGTTTCTACCTAATCAATAGATAATGAAAGAAGAGGAGAGTGTTATGGGGCGCAGACCTGCCAGATTGTGTCAAACTTTGTTCCCTCTGGCATGGAGTATTTCCCTGACTTGTCTTGGAGGATCTGGTAGTGATACACTGTTTTTCCGTACACCATGGAGAGAGCAAAAGTACCAGACTCCTCTCTGTCTCTCACTCTGAGAAACAAAAAAACAGAGTTGCTTAAAAACCGCATGGTGACCTCTGACCTTTGGCTGAAAAAAAAAGAAGAAGAAACATCACCTTGAGCGACTTACAGAAACTTGCCGTCGGGCTGTGCGCCAGAGTAAAGCCGCCTCTCTCCTTCCTGCCGGGTGATTTTACCGTGGTACCAGGGCATCTTCTCGTGGGCCGTGGTGGCGATCAGTTTCTCCAGCTGAGGAGCTTGACTGATGATGGCCTGCTCCATCGCTTCTCCCTGAGCAGAAGAACAACAAAAAGACAAAAAACAGACAGAATTCACACAATGATTAAGAGCGTATTTACTGTTTCAGGTATCCCAAATGGTATCCCTAAATACATTCAATCAGCAAGGTCTGTAAAAGTTTTTGCCCCTGGACCCCTGAAAACCTGCTGCAATATATTTTAATATACAGTATGAAAGAGGTGCATATCATATCAGGCATTTGTTTTTTTTTGTAGAAAAAGTACTTAAATATTTGTAATATGTTCAATTTCTCTACGTTTTTTATGTGAAATGTTCTAATTTGCTAAAATGTTGTTACTTTTCACTACTTCTAAGATATGTTGCATCTATTGCAGACAGAGGGTTATGATTGTTCTGTCTCCTTTTGGTCCCTGCAGGGGGGTCCACAGACATCTGGAGCCAGTTTGGCTGTTTAGCAGAAGCCAACCAGTGATAAAAGGCTACTGGTCTCAGTGTGGGACTGTCTGCAGTAGGAGACAAATCATAAAACTACAGGACTTCAGATTGAAGTCCTACTACAGATGGCCAGACCTCAAACACAATAAACAAAGACATTTAACAAATGAAAAAAGAAATGGCGACTTTTTTTCTCTGTAAGTGGAATAATTGTTAACCCTTAATGCTGTTTGTATTGTATAGGCTTTTATTGGGTTGTATGATTGTAGTAACATAAAAACGAATAAGTAAGTAATATAAATCCTTTAAAAAATTGCAAGCACCTCAAAACATGTAAATTGAGTTAAACTAATTAGTAACATTAACTACTAAGTGTAAATATTATGTTAATCTATTCGATTACAGAACAACTTATTTTAACTATTTGAAAAGTAGGAACTCTTTTCACTTTTATAAAACTTCCAAATGATGAACAGCAGCCTCACCTCCAGGTTCCAGGTCTGCTTCACGTACTCCCTCATCATGTTTTCTCTCATGCCGTCGAACACGCCGGGACGTATTGGAGTGTCCGCGGTGCGCAGACAGGGTTTCCTCAGGAGGTACACCAGCCCTTCGGGGTCTTTGCTGTAAAACTCACAGAGCTCCGCAGGCCCACAGTGCGGCTTCCCCCCTGTGATGCAGTAGGTCCCGTTAAGCTGCTTGTCTACAGGGTAATGGTGAAACTCCAGGTTAAACGCGATAGAGAGAACATAGCCTCCCAGACTGCGGAGACACTGTCGCAGCAGGAACATCCCATCAACCATCCCGGCCAGCTTCAGGTGCTGCTCGGCGTCTGAGCGACTGATGCTGCCGTAGTAGAAAGGCAGCTCGGCCGCCGGGTCGATGGACATGGTCAGGCTGTGAGAGAAGAGCTGAACTTTGGCTTTGAGTTCTGGTTGGTGGAAATTAACTAGAGAGAGAGAGAGAAAGGAAAGGCATTAAAGCAAAAACTGCATTTAAAAGGCTAAAAGCGCAAATTGTTTGACCTCTGACCTTTCCACCTTTAAGCAGCTACGTTCCCTCCAATGTCAGCTAAAACATTTTTTAATTCTCATCTACCAAATTACAAACCAGCTGTGAAATGACAGTTTCAAATCAACATTCAACAAGTGCTAATCATGCTAGTTTCACCTCTACTTCTTGTCTTCTATGACACACCAAGAGAAAGTTAGTTTTTTCAGTGCAGTCAACTTTACACGGACGTGATATTTAGCACCAAGCACCCACACATTTTGGCAGCATGGAGCTTTCAGACTAACAAACTGGTGACAAAGCCACAACAGGAAGTTGCAGTCCGCCCTCACAGCCTCTGTTCTCCAGCATCTTGTTCTTCCGTTGAACAGGTGCTTTTTGCTACGAGATCATTCCTTCTGATTTAGAAACTCAAATGTAAAAGTTTTCCTTACTGAGAGGAAATTCTATTTAGGAAATTCCCCTCACTACATATTCAAAACAGCTATAATGTGATGAATGAAATAAAAATGCTGATATAAAACTTCAGGAGAGGTGTTAAATGAAGACCTAAAGATAAGATAAAAATCAAGCAGGTTTTGACTGCAGTTTGGAAATGTGATAGCAGGCGGAAAATGCCTGTTGGAGATAAAAACAAAACTGACAATGATCAAATTGCGTCCGGCACACCACGCAGAAAGTAAATAACTTGAATTTGCAGATGTGCTTGGAATAAAGATTGAGATTTGATAAAATCCCACTATAATAAAGAAGAAACAGGAAAGAGTTAGAGGTAAAACAACAGCTTGTCGTGCAGAAATGATTTAGTTTAACCGTTACAGAACATTCATAGTTGAATTTAAGATGAACCTTTTTGGTAATTGATTTATAATTTGATCTGTTGATCTCTGTCATATATATGAATGGAAAGCTCACACTCCTAAGAAAATGCATTCTTATTTATTTACTGGACTCTGATAGGACATTTTTTCTGAAAGAGACAAATCTTTTTTTTATGTAACACCTCATGTTGTTAGAAAATCAAAACAAATTGAAGCCAGTGAGTAAAAGCCTCAGCTTCCTGGCTACAAACTTGTGATTCTTGCCCACATCCATAGTGGACAACCGAGGAGAAACACAAAGCCGCCACAAGACACAAGACCCCCCCACAACAAAGACCTCGAGAGCCGACGATGTGGACACACAGATATCCCACGCACAAAACAAGGCTTCATAAACTACACCTGCAGCTGTTCATCTGATGTTTCTTTAGGGCATTTTAATCCATATAGTTGTCTTTAGCTGAGGCTAAATGTACTTGGGTTCTGTTTTTATTGTTGATTAGAAGTTTAAGGCATTTATAGAGTCAACATGTTCCTGTTACTACTTTTCAAAAGTGAGGATAAGATTCTTCACAAGTTAAATATATTTCATTTTTAAACTGTGGTTTTAATAACGAGACATGTAAAGACTTTCAACAACAACCTGTTGACTGAAGATTTCAGCTATGATACTATAACCATCTTAATAATGTTTTCCAAAATTGTAATTCCCAGTAAACATTTAGCATTACAGTTGTGACACTATTCCTTAATTAATCACAGACAGTAATATTATTTAAATAAACTCAAACTGGAAGAGAAAAATTGTTTTATAACACAACAAAAAGCATGAAAATAATATTGGTCACACTGAATGTAATTCACGACACGACCAAACCAGCTAAAAACAGTTACAGATTTCCAACAAGACATAAAAGTATTTTTATCTAATCCAAAAGGCAACTCTTTGCTCCACTTGTGTTCTTTTCAACATCTTTTTTTATGGTTCATTTTATTTCATTTAATCGTTTATTTGAACAGGGACAATGCACATTAATGAACACTTAAAACAAAAAAATTCGTCAAGTGTAAATATGCTTTTAGCTTTGAGCTCATTTCCATCCGCAGTCCCTCACATACAACATTTAAGAACATGACATTTATAAACATGGCAAAAACAAATACATGATATGCAAAAAGAGCAAGAGCAGCATACACAAGTAGTTACCACATGGCAGTAAAATATAGCAGCAACGACATATAAAGTGCAAGAGAAGATACCCCTGTATTAAAGTGCATTTAGCGGTGATTGCACGTCTGTTTGTTTCTCAACCATTCTTTTAGTTGACCTTTAAAACTATTGAGAGTGGGACGATCCCGTATCTCAGTTGGGAGGCTATTCCAGAAAGAGCTGCCTTTAATGGAGAGTACATTTTGTCCAAAAGTGGTCCGTCTACGGTGGACTTCACAGTCTCCTCTGGTTTCTGACCTAGTGCAGCGTCCAGTATTTTTTTTGTGGATGAATTCCCCTAATGGAGGGGGGGAGGGGGGGGGGGGGCAGTCCATGTAAACATTTATAAAAAAAGCACATACTTTTAAAAGACTTTACATTGTCAAAACTTAAGAAATTGTGTTTTTGAAGGATGGTAGGAGTGGTGGTATGAATATGGCTTTCTGTCAAACACCTTGATAGCTCTCTTGTACAGCTGTTCTATTGGTTTAAGGTTTGTGGCACAAGCAAACGACCAGTTTGTAAAACAGTATTCAGGTTATTCTCCTCTGTATAATAAATCACAAAAGCAAAGCGTGTAGAATGATGAGCTGACACATGATGACATGAACCCACATTGTTGAGTTGTATCCTTCCTCTGAAACCATTATTTCAATTTAAGACAGCGTACTTTAAAATACAGAAACTGAATTCAAAGTAGAAAAACGTACTTCATTAAATAAAAGAATTCCTCTGCAAATAAAGTGTCAGACTGTGCAGACAGTGAGCTGTCTAGAACCTCCTGTGAGTCAGTCGGTTTTCAACAAGTGGGAAGTGAGGTGACCGTTTGTTTTCCACAGAGGAGTCCTCACACGCAAAGTAGATGTTATTAAATACAAATGAAAAACCACATCTTGATTATCATCTAGTCAAGCTTTTGTCTACAAAAACTGAATATGATTTTTTTGTCGTACAGGTTAAACCTGTTTCACGCCTTCCCCCCGGTACCGGGCGGATAAACGCGTCATTTGCAGGAAACAACGTCTAAGGAATCTTAATATTGAATAAAACTATGAATGTGTTATATCCATGTAACGGGAAGAAACTCAGCTAACTGATCTTTTTAATTTTTTTTTTCAAAAAAACCCCACAATGCTAGCACTCAGCCTCTGAATTAGCCTCGATCGAAAAAACGGGACCGACAAAGGCACATAAACTCACTCAGAACTCCCTTATTACTTATCCTAGATGCACAACCAAACACTATTTTTTGGTGTCCTGGAGACACTGAATCTAACGGTGCCCACCTCAACACTCAGTGATAAACATTCGCGACGCTATCAACGAAAGCGTACATCATCACATGTGGAGCCAAGAAGCTAAACATGTAAATATGGCTCACCTTGGTCAAAAGTGGTCTTCAATGGCATTAAAACGATAAAAAAACGATGCTGCAGTTAATCCATAGGTTCATCCTATGTGTCTGTGCCTTCTTTGAAATTATTTCTGATAATCCATAAGCAATACAACTGCGTTTTAGTTTCCAAACTCCAGAAGGAGACATTCCTCCAGTTTAGTTTCGCTTTCCACACGCGAAGCGGCAACATTTTTTCTTTATAATGTGTGTCTATGTGAGTCTCCTCCTTCGATTCTATTGGCTCTAACGGTCACAAGGGTATGTCAACCAACCAGATCGAGCAAGGGGGGCCAGAGATAGGTCAAATCCACCCAAATGACCCCAGATGGCCCAGTTTTTGGCTAAATCTCTCTAAAAAGGTCAAATTTCACTTGTTTTGCATCAATCTTGATACAGGGTACTTATTATATGTTGTACTTTGGATTCCTAAAGCTTTTAGTCTACTAACCCATCATCCAAGGGTAGTTTTCACTATCTGTAAAAAATAATTTTTGGACGGACACTATAATTTACAGTTTTTTACTATGTAAAATCTGAATTTTCTTTAAAATAAAAAACATTTATATTGATTCTGACACTTCTACATCCAACTCACAGGTTTATCATTACTTTGAGAAAAGATTATTAATTTAACCCTTTTAGAAGGGAAGATATGGTCATTTGTTCTGGGAATGTCATTTTCGAGCCTGAGACCTGAAAAACAGGCTCAGAGTGGAACAGGTTTTAATCAATGCCAGAGATTGAAAGGCACCGGAAATGTAGTGGATAGAGAATTCTTAGCTATACACGTTCAATAGAATACTATGGATAATACTTAAAGAGGCTTGTGCCCCTGCTTCCTGGGTTATTAAGTGAGTCTATACACTTGTTACAGTAGCAATGCTATAGTCTACGCCTAAAGAGTGTAAAGCTCCCGTGAATATTTTATTGCCTCAATAAAGACATAAAACAACCAGCAAAACAAAGCTTTAAGAACTCCATCAAACAGTATTTGAGATCTTTCATTCTGGACCAATGTAGTGGAATGACAAACATACGTTGTCATCCACAGAGCCATTAGCATTGGCTGACACAGCCTTAAAACAATAATGTTTATATTTGAAAAGATATGAAGCCCTTCACTAATAATTGAAACGGTTTAGATTTAACAGATGTTCAAACTAATGACTTATTTCTGTTGAAAATGTAGTTTCCGAGCTAGTAGATTTTTTGATAGACCTTATATACTCCATTTGATATAGATTAACAATTATTGAACAGTCTTTTTGTTTAGCGTTTTCGGTCTTTGTTTTGTGTCAATGCCACCATTTTAGTTTCAATGTGTTAAAAATAAAATAATATATATAGTGGAAAAAACGTGACGTGATGTCATTGTCTTCGTCTTTTTCATTATAACATTGCACCCAAACATCTAAAAAACTTCAGTGATATGCTAACGTTAACGTCAGGCTGCAAGATCAAGTGGGGGTCAGGAAAATAGTGACCTCTTTATTTCTGTTTATAGAGAGTAAAAGCACAAAACGCAAACCCCTTCAACAGCGTCGAGACTCATTCGTACAGAGACATTTAAACCCTTTTATTCTCATGAATCATACGTGTGAGCAATACCATGAGGTCAGTGATTTAATTTGCTTCTTTAACAAGGAAAAGCTGTTATTCTGTAGATAACTTAATCAGGAACATTCCAGTGATAACTATTGAGCTATTTACGTTATTTTAGATCCTGATTATTTGGGTTGTGCTATCAGGAAGTAAGCTTGTTGTTATGTAACTCAGAGCATTCCTCCATACGTACATCAGCATTAGAGAATAGGCATCAGCCCACAGATAATGTGTCCTTTAACCCTCATACATGAACTAATTGTTTCCCACCTTTGTTTAAGTGATGATTGGAAAACAACTTAAGGATAAGCTGCACTTGGATAAGAGGTTCATCTGCATCTGTCAGTTAAACGTATTATAATGAGGCTTTGGTGTCAACTGTTGTTTCAGCTGGAACTAAATGTAATGTTTGAATGTCAGTAAACACTGTCACACTTACACTCAGAATTAACAAGCACATTTTGTATTACATGAACCTTTTGGCTAACCAGACCGATATTGTCAGACTGTGGCTGGAACATTTCATGCTTCAGTCCAGGACCAAAAATACATCCAGTAATTTCAAGAAAAGTAACAAGCGACAAAAGACACACACACACAGAGCTCTTTACCCATTTTTGGTTTTCTATTCCAAGGCACAATGAAAGCAGCTATTTATATTTTTGCACATGTTATCTCTACTTCTGTAAGCCAAAGCAACAATGCCTCAGCCAAACGTTGTAACACACACACTTGGCTATGGAAATATAGAAACAGACATTTAAACTGTGAATGTGTGGCTTAAATAAAAAATATTAATTAGAATATAAATACCACAGATAATTTTAGGTTACACACTCAATTTGGATTAAATTACTGGGAACTTTATGTAAAAGAATAATGATAAAAAGTATTAAAATACACTTTTAACACAGCCAAACCCCCTAATAAACTATTTTATAGATAGATGTGTATTGGAAAGCATTTTGATTCAAGAGAAACATTGATTTTAAGGGAAATACATTAAAAAAAGTAAACGTTTTTGCTGCATAACTTTAATACAACTTTTCCTCAGGCCCAGTATTAACCTAATTGTATTAAGTGTATTTCTATTTTTGTTAATTTAAAAATGTGTATTCCAACAATACAAAGCATGGCTGTTGTTGAATCAGATAAACATTGACAATTTAAGTTACTTACAGTACGTATTCCTGCTTCACCGCTAAACGAGCGTGTTGTTGCATCAGAAACAAGGATATATCTGTTGATCTGACAGTGGAGTATGGTGCTGTGAACAAGTTGGGGTTAGAGACGCACACACACACACACACACACACACACACACACACACACACACACACACACACACACACACACACACACACACACACACACACACACACACACACACACACTATGCATTTTCTTTCTTCTTTGGAGCTCTTTGGAACTGTATGTCAAAATATAAAAGCTTGGTTAACGCAACATTACATACATATTTTTGACACCTTTTGGAAATATTATTCCATGTAGTTGCTTTCTTGCTGATAGTACAATGAAAACAGCAACCCCCCCCTCTCATGTGTGTTTAAATGTTGCTCTTCTTCCTACTATCTGCCAATATATATTGGGATCATGTGTTTCTACCATCATGTCGTATACTATTCCTTTAAAATACGAAGCCAACATTTGGATGGTTAGCATACAGAGTGGAAACAACAGTAAGCATGGGGGAACCTTCCAGAGGTAATACAATTTACACAAAAGCATCAAATAGAAATATTGTTTTTACAATGTAATTGTGGACCGGTGTCCCCCTGTTGCAGTCTTTACTCCTATGTTATGTCTTGCCAATTCATCTTAATGTGAATGTATGTACACAGTGGTGACGTTAAAAGGATTGAATCTTTCCTAATTTCTATATGAAGTGTGTACTTTTCAATACAGATGAACCATTATGACACGTACGCACACAACACTTGTGGAATAGCCACAGTACAAATAGCAGAGATACTAAAGTGGCCTCTCAAACAAACCCCCACCTGACGCTGCAGCTGCTTCCTCGGTCTCAGATCAGGCAGCCAATCAGCAGACCCCCCTCAATCAAGTCTCACAACATCACACGAAACTAAAACGGAAAACAAGATGCGTGCCTTCAAAATAAAAGCAGCAATGTTCATTCAGACTGTTCTTGAAATTGGTAACCAAGAGTTCTCCGTTTAAAAAGTACTTTCTGCTGATGAATCTGCAAAGCAGCTTTACTCTTGTCAATGTATAAAAAAGGTTATGAGTAAAAAAAACGAGTAGGCAAGTATGTTTTGACAAAAGGAAAAGTTGAGTTTGTGTATACTTTTTACTTTTAAACACAGCAGAGCATTAAGAAAAAAATAAAAACCTGGAAAAAAGTTGCCGTATGCAGTTTGAATTAGTTGCACCATTGAGTTTTAAAAACATTTTTTTATTGAATATGATATGGATTTATAGCTCCAGTTGCTTCTCTGCTCTCAAAAAGTTTGAAATAATATAATTTAATAAGGCCATACTTTTACTTATTAACGATAAATGCACATCTCTTCTGATGGAGTCAATCTTAGCCTAAAACATGGCATTAACATAATTTTAGGAAACATTACATTGTTTTTTACTTTTTATTTCATTTTTTAACAAAGCATTTCGTCACCTTATATAGGACCTAAAATAAAATAAACATTTTTAAAGAAAAGTTGTGCACTTTAGAAAACATATCATGCAAATCCTCCTTCGCTATTAAAATTATTTAGGAAACATCTCAGGGTTGCAGTCTGTCATAAAGTTACTCCTTCCTTGGCCCATAATGGGAATGGACCCCAGAAAATGAAAACTATGCAAACCAAATTGGATGATGTAGTATACGATGCAGCTGTTAAAATATAGAACAAAAAACGAAATAACTATAGTTCATTGATTATATAGGAGAGAAGTCATATGGCTATTTAAGGGATGAACCAAGGTCAGTGTTTTTGTGTTGTTTGCAGGAGTGATACACATGTAGGTTTTTAAATAAATAAGTAAATTCATTAATAATTGTGGCCTAAAATGAAAAGTGCACAGAGCAGTAATGCAATTAAAAATCAGGGTTATCATTAACTATACCGCCTGTCTGACCATACACACTCAATTCAGCTCATTATTTGATCCAAAAACTGCAAAGGCCCTTTTGCAGTTCCGACTTTTATTTTGCAAGCTGTCACCGGAAGTCCAATAAACTAAGTGTGGGTGACTCGACAACAAACTGTGGCTCTGTGCTGCTGGAAGTGGAAGAAGTTGAGTCTCCTCAGTCACCCGCCGGCGCCGCCTCCTCTCCGCTCCGCTGCGGTGGACAGAGGGACAGACTCACAGCGGAACTTCTGCAGGGGACAACGGGAAGGTAGGTCCGCGCGCCCGGCCACACTCTGTTCTAATGCACACCTCTGGAGGAAAGCGGCCATGCCATGATGCTGGCAGGAGGCTGCTCTCAGCTAGAAAAACGCACATTTCTGCAAAAAAACATTTGCAGACTTTGAATGTTTTGTCTTTTAGCTTTTTCATTGTGTTACCAAAGGATCATGGTATGCATATACATATACATTTTTCTTTAATGCATGTGTGTATTGCATTAGGGCATTCCTCCCAAGATCAATGTCTTAATTGGCTCAAGATAAAATAGTTATTACTCGAATCGCCTCAATGGCTGATGACAAGGCAGTCCAGTGTGTGTGTGTGTGTGTGTGTGTGTGTGTGTGTGTGTGTGTGTGTGTGTGTGTGTGGTGTGTGTGTGTGTGTGTGTGTGTGTGTGTGTGTGTGTGTGTGTGTGTGTGTGTGTGTGTGTGTGTGTGTGTGTGTGTGTGTGTGTGTGTGTGTGTGTGTGTGTGTGTGTGTGTGTGTGTGTGTGTGTGTGTGTGTGTGTGTGTGTGTGTGTGTGTGTGTGTGTGTGTGTGTGTGTGTGTGTGTGTGTGTGTGTGTGTGTGTGTGTGTGTGTGTGTGTGTGTGTGTGTGTGTGTGTGTGTGTGTGTGAGACATGTAGCTCATTGATGGAAAACGACTGCAGTAATTAAGCAGCAAAACACTTTATCTATCAGGATTTTAAAATATTATAGGGATTTATTTGTTATACTTCCAGCTTTTATATTATCTTCTGTATGATGTGAATATATGTAGGACTTCTTTGTGCACATGGATGCCAATATTTGGTTCCTGAATATGCATCAGAAATAAGTCATTTTTCAGCAGAATTTGCAGAAAGATGCAGGTTTATTTCTATCATAGTTGCATTCTTGATCTTAGTGAGTCATGCATCGGTTTTTGGTAGAATTAACACATGCTCTTAAAATGTGTTTAATATATTTGTTTGCATATTCTGGTGGTAGACATATTATAAAATTCGTTTTTCAGGGTTTTTTCTCACATTAGATGCACAATCCACATCAGTTTATGCATGCTGATAACTGATGTGGAACCACTGCATTTCATTTGCAGCTATGTGACTAAACTGAGTATATGTGGAGTCTTTGCAGTCCTAAAGAAGATACAAAAAATTGTGGAGAAATTCATATGATAAAAGACAGAAAGAGAAAACCTTCCTCTACCATCTGTGCTGTGTTCCCAGTGCTGCTGGCTGACTCACTAGTGTCGAGTCAGCTCTCTCTCTCTCTCTCTCTCTCTCTCTCTCTCTCTCTCATCTCTCCTCTCTCCTCTCTCTCTCTCATCTCTCTCTCATCCCTCTCCTCTCTCTCTTCTCTCTCTCCTCTCTCTCTCACTCTCTCTCCTCCCTTCCTCTCCTACTCTCCATCTCTCTTCTCTCTCTCTCGTCATCTCTGTCTCGTCTCTCATCTCTCCTCATCTCTCTGCCTCTTCATTCTCTCTCTCTCTCTCTCTCTCTCTCACTAAATATTGTTTCAGACTCGAGAGGCACATTTTCAGAGTTAGGGGAGCACATCCGAGGTTCTCTGGCCTGTTTATGTTCCCACTTTTCATCTGCACACTGTTTATTTGGGGAAATTGAGAAAGGAATGCCTGCCTCTTTCTCTTTCTGTCTTTGTACCAGACAGAGAGAATGAGGGTTTAGTCTGGGAAATATCCCCCGGTTCTTTGCTTTATTTATATCACCTGTTCAGGGTTTCATGTGGAGCTCTTTGTGAAGCTATAGTCTTATAGAGGGACTCATTTTTGCTGAGGCAGTCTGAAACGCTCCATCTGACTTGTGACATTCGTCTTATTCAGTTATTTGATCCCACAGCCTCACAGTGTTATTAGGAAGGAGAATCCACACCACTAGTTTAATGAAATAATAAACTGAACCTAAAGCTGATTCATCAGCTACTCCCGGATCAAAGTGGAAGCAGTATGAATTGTGTGTGTGAGTGGGGGGAGTGCTAGACTTGAAGCTAAGCTGAGGGACACTTAGCATCTGTTCGCTCCACACAGACTTTACTTTGAGCCGGTCATATGGCTTTGATTAACGTGCTAGTTTTCGGATAGCTCCACTCTCCCTGGCAACAGTTAAAGACAAGGACAGCATAGTTAGCTGTAGTCTTTAAAAGAAAAAAAAACTCACTGTACATCCCTTACACCACATTAAAAGCAGCTGTCACTAGTGGATGACAAGATGAAAAAATGACGTGTCAAACTGAGTCCACTGGCGTGATTGCATTGCCATTTGGGCCTATCCTAAAATCCCCACCTTATTATCCGGAGCGGTCCAACTTTTCTCTCTTGTTAACAATGACCCCTTTCTTCTCCCCTTGTTCTTTTCCCTTTTGCAAATTGTGATTGCGTTGGAAATTGTGTGGCCTGTCTGCAGCTCGGACCACTTTCTCTCTTGGCCGCGATTGCAGCTTCATGCTCGATATTCACAGCTAATCCAAGCAAAACACAGAGCGGAGAGTCGGAGAGCTTGGCCTGCTGACAAACATACGTTTTTTATTTCGCTCAAAAGTGATACAGCCCAGAGGGAAAGTTTTGCACAACAGACCGCAGAAGATGTATGACACCGTCACCTCTGCGAGACAGCTCTCTCTTAATTTAGCTGCAATTCTGTGTGGTTTATAATGGGGCAATCATTTACCAAGAAGGCAGTGTTGTTGTGAGGATCTTTTGATGGCTGTTCACAAATCTTTTTAAGCAGCTTCACTTAAAAAGCACCAAGGGACAGCACTGGGGGGTCCGGTCTCTCCCTTGTTTTCTTGTTTGAATAAACAAAAAGAGAGTTAGATGTAATGAAAAGCACTTGATATCAAGCTGCAAGTTTAATAACCCCACTATAAATCGAGAGAAGGAGCAGAAGAAGTAATGAAAATGGAGGAGAGTTTGGCTTTTGCAGGAAATGACTGGGAGAAAGCCTTAGGGAGGGAAGAGAGAAAGACGTTCCGTTGTACCACGTATGAGAGAAGCTGCAACAGTAAAAAGACCCCTCAGTGTTTTTAAAGAAAGCTCTCTTTTACTATACCTTCTCATTGGCTTTTTAACTTAAATAAAAGGCACATTAGTGCTCTTTTCAAGTCATTCCTTCACACTCGGTTCAGCACTAAAGCTCAAGAATGGCTCTCCCAGCTGGCTCGAACAGCTTACACACCGCTGTCTCTCTTTCATTCCCCTCGGGCTTTGCATTGGTTTTTTTCCCTCCTCTTTTCAGGAGGCAACTTGTTCCCCCTGCTCTCGTCACCAAAAGGTTTCCCATCTGCTTCCGATTACCTTTGGCTGCAGTTGGTTTGCCGCCAGCCATCTGGGGCAGTGTGGCGTCTCCGCTCGCTCTTCTCTCCCCAGACGGCACTGAGGGAAAGATGGAGGGGAGGCAGGGGAGGACAAGAGTGAGCCGGGTGGGCAGACTTTTCTGGAGAATAGCAAGGAATGGTTTATTTTAGCTGACGCTGCAATCCATAGTCAAGAAACTCAAGTCAAACAGAAGGGCACCCATAAAATGTGAGTTCCGATCTTGGCTCTGGTCTGTTTTCATAATTGGTACTGTGGGTAGTTTTCCTTTGTCATTATAAAACAGATCCTCTTATGTTGGTCTGTCAGTAAAAAATAGAATAGTACCCAATAAAAAAAACTTGGTTTATGTTTAGCACATGACATTTAAATTAGTAGTCTGGAAAATGGACAACAGACCCAATTTTTACATCTATGATGTCAGTCTGGCTGAACTGTTACCTCCAAATGACCATTTAGCGTTGTCATACAAACTTTCTGTTCCGAAAAAAGGAATGGACATCATTCCCTGTTGTGACTGAAATGTAAAACCATAATTTACGTCTGCTGGTTGAGAAAAACAATGAATTTCACTGGCATTGTGAAGTAGTATACAGATGACATTCACCAATGGGTCCTGTAATATGCAATGCCCTGCTGAAATGAAGAGCTGGATTTCAATAGTTTTATGCAATTCAATGACAATGTCGTGTGAGCCTGAATCTATATTTAAAAAAGCAGTAGTAGGGAAGCAGTAGTTGGTGCTGGATTTTAGAAACACAAACTAGTTGAAGTAGTTTGTCCACCAAGGAGCAATGAAAAACTGAAAACAAACAAATACCAATATCAGTTTTGCCTTCTTGGCCAAGTCTGGTTTAGGCTATAATTATCACAGTACTCTACCCTTTGTCTCAAATGTAAACAAGTTTCATATAGGCACTCATACCATCCGTCTGCGGGCCAGGACGCCTGCCAATTAGTAAGCTGTACAGTCAGGCAGCCAGCCAGCAAGTCACTCAGCCATACAACCCACCACCACAGTCAGCGAAGCAGTGATGGCAACCTGCTGCTCCTCTCAAATTGGCTCATTTTACCCCCAGAGCCTCTGACATAATACCCACTTCAAGCCCTGTTTGGGCATTAAGCGCAGCTTTTTACAAGATCAATGGCTTTCTTTGTGTTTGAACTCTTTCCGGTGGGCAGGCAGCTTAAAGAGCGGGGCCTCAGGGGCCCCAGGTTGGGACCTGCTGTTGTCTCCGGTCATCAGAGTGAAAGACAGGGTGTTTGCCTTTCGCCAAAGCCAAGATTGATTAGCTGAAGGAAAAAAGCAGGACTGGGCAGTCCTTCGTTGGACGCTGAATATGAACTGGGTAGATTTGTTTTGTTAGAACTGGAACTGCATGGGTCAAAGAGATCTCATGCTCTCTCTCGTTTTAATCGTTTTAAGTCTGCATTGTTCCTCCCTTTTTAGCCTAAATCTGACTCTCCCACCATTTCTTTACTCCATTTCCTGGCCTTCCTCACTAAACATCTTATCTTTCACAGGGATATAGAAGGAGTCTAAACCTGACACTGCTGCTAAGCCCCTTCAGAGATCCCTCTCTTCTGCTCTGAGGACTCTTCAAGGATCCCTCCACACCTGCTGATCTACAAGCTGCAGCCGAGCCATGTCTATATGATCCTGAGGTCTACAGCAGCCATGGCCCAACAGAGCGCTGAGCCGTCCCACTGCTAGGCGTTGGGGCATCCGAGAGGGCAGAAGACATGTTGGGACAGAGGCCCGGGGACCACTGCACTGAAATCTGTTACTATAGCAACTACTGTAGTAACCATGGAAACGCTATGGAGGACGGGTCTGGTTTGCACTGTCATAATCGTAATGGTTGCCACAGAGGTCGAAGGAGGTCACAGAGATGAGTTCGCCCAGTCACAAGGTGAGAGGAGGCGATTATATTCACATCAAATACCTGACAAATTATTGTAATCGTATACAAAATAATTGTAGCCAATTTTGTCAATTGATTTGGATTACGGCCCACAATAGGCTAATGTACCCACAGGAAGTAAGGATAGGTACCATAGTATAAATGTTATGACCAAAGCTCCAATGATGGATAAATATATCTGAATCAGACATTTATTGCCAGTTTTGAGTACTTGACAATCTCTTGGTGCTACAGAACATTTTGGTCAATACCAATAATCTGTTGAGGTTTTATACTGAGCCTTCTGTGGCTGAGATGAGCTGAATTTAAGGTGAGACTACATCATATCTACTATGAAATCAGGGTAATCCCATTACAGTTTCAGGTATACTGTCTATTCTATAGCTATTACCCTAATCTTGGTAATATATGAACATGTGTTTATGATTTCCCACCAAAAACAGCAAAGTCAGACACCCCAGTCTTTGAGCAGGTCTAATACCAGGTTGCATAACACAGGTTGACCTTTTTAAAGAAACCAAACCAGAGTTAGAATTAAACACACTATTAGGTATTTGGAAAATAAAATTGGTTAATTGGCTGTAAGCTTAGCTTTATACTGTGGGAATGTCTAATTATTTTCCTTAATATATGTTACCTTTGCGGTGCCCAGAGTGAAATCAGTTTTTTTTATTTAAGCAAAAATAATTTTCACAATCTACCCATATTCATGTTGAGAAAATAATTACATTTTCTATATTTAATGTATTCTTTACTTGTTATTAAAGGATTCCATGTTTGTTCCTAGTACAAAGTACTAGTCTTCTTCCTGAGCTGTAGAAAAAGCGTTGAGGTCAGCCTGACCATCTGAGGCACACTTCAGACCTGCAGGTCTGGGCTGCTGAACTTGAACTCTATTTCAACAAATCATGTAGCTGTGGTTCAGCCACGCTCCCCCCACCACCTCAAACCACACAGTCTCTCTCATGTTCAAAGAGAGGCTGGAGCGCCTGAAATCCCTCTGAAGGCAAAGACTTAAATTCCCTGTCTCGTCATCCTGAACAAGGCTATGATTGTGTATTTCCTAAACTTAACCTTTGACCCCCTCCAGCCATTTGTCTCCAATTGTCTGCCATGCTGCTTTCTTTAAATAACCCACGCCTCCAACCCTGACGTGGCTCATTTCACAGGTACAGACAGTTTGGTCCTAAAGCCTGCCTAACTTTTTTTTTTATTACCAAGCTCGAATAACTGTAATTTAAGAGGGGTTGTTTTTAGTGATTAACTATTTTCTCTTCAGCAAATCTGCTGTCATCAATCGTGTTTTCCAACCACAGTGGGCAGCTGAGAAAATCTGCTCAAAACCAAGCAGCATACAGACAAAGATAGCAACTACTTGGTGTAAATGGCAGTACTGTATATAAAGGGAAAATGCTGTAAATGCAGCTAAAATACCAGAACTATTTCTCTGGAAGTCGTGGACACCAAAAATGAAACTAAAATAGAGACTGAATATTGGACTTAAATCTGTCGCTGACAGGAAATACAATGACAAGGCTTTTGTGGCTGCTGAATTTGTAGGTAGGCAATGGAATAGAATGGCCTTGTAGCATTTGCAATTAAGTTTGGACAAAGTCCACATTTCTGTATGTGTATGTGCATATGTCACTTCCCTGTTTACAGGAGGAAGACACAGTAGGCATAGAAATACAGGATGATGATCCTAAAGTGAGGACTTGTGCCACCAATTCTCTCTCTTGTAGTTAGTACTGATGGGATAGTCACAGATTATTCCTTCTCATGTAGTAGTTATTTGAAACAAAATATAACAAGGCGTTTTGGTCTGAATTGCCTTTAGGGTGTGTCTGGGTTGAGGGAGGGACAGTTTCCATCCAGAATATTTCCTTCCACTATTTTTATTTGCAGATAATAGAAATCAGGGTGATGCCCCGCTTCTGGATGAAACCGTTTTAGTCTCCTGTTAAATTTAGCAGACATGTTTCCACTCTCAGTTTTCTCTTTGCTTTGATGTCTACTTACTGTAACATAGTCAAATGCTGAATTGCTAAGGGCTCAGTTTGCCAAGGATATCATATAAAATATGTGTACTAGTTAATTCTCTCAGGGTCAACTTGAGAACACCAGGAAGGAATAGTTTGCATTGTATATACTGTAAAAATACTTGTATATATAAATAGTAGAAATTGGAGGTTTTTTGATATGCAGTTGTAGAAAGTCTTAAGACATTCCTCATCCATTTTATTAAGTCATAAAATACTTCCGCTTAAATGTTTAGTTCAAACTACATAGTAATTAGTTTTACTAGTTTTCATTAGTCTACATTTTATTCTGTGTGAGGTCTCATTAATTTCTTCCTTGGAGGTGAGGTACATCTACTTCTTTAACACACTACCCTTATTTTCTCTCCGGGAGCTTTTCCTGTGCTTCAAAGGTAATGATAATCCCACCTGCCTGATAACTTGTGGTGGTTTTTCAGAGCAGGATGGATGTGTTGTGGGAAGCAGTTTAGAGCTCTAAGAAGGTAACAATGTGAAGTTGAACATTCTGTTGCCACAATATTTTTTAAAACCGGATTATTTGAACTAACAACAACACTTGCCTCTTTCTTGGACCTTCGACCAGTTCGGCATCCCATGAGTCAAGTGGGTCGCAGGCATGTTTAGCTAGCTAATGTTTACCCAGTTATTTACAACATGGCTCGTTTTAATCACGTTAATATAAATGAGATCCAGAAATTGAAATCGAGTTCCTAAGTGTGGGTCGATCACCCTTTTGTTGATCAGTTAATTGAATCTGTTGAGCATGAAAGCTTGCCATGACTACCCACTGCTTTCACGGTTTTACAATGATTTCAAGTTAAAACTTCACAGGCTGTCCCTCCTTCTCAAACCCTTATTTCAAGAGGTTCACCTACATATGGGGAAGAAACATAAACTTCAAATTTAAAATATAAAAAACGCCAAGTCATTCACCAATTTTTGAAACCAAGCCAATTTCCATTTTTGTGACTTAAACCTAAAACGCAGAGTATGTTTTTAACTTTACTCTCCATTTCGAAAATACAGTACAACCTCACAAGCTCCTTGTGAAGGCAGCATTTGTAATTGTGCTTACTGTTTATTCAAGCCAGACCTATCCGCTGCCTTCAGAGTGGTTTTTCCCATAACAGAGCTCTCCAAGTCTGTACCAGGGAACTCTGATCTCTGGGTATTTACTCTGTGTGGGAAGGGGCCGCGGCCCCACCAAGTGAGGCCAAAGGTTTGATGAAAACTGGGCTCATTTGCTGGTGACCTTTCCCCGTTAGTTAGCTGACGTTGGCTGTTTGGAGCCGTGTGTGTTTGGACAATAAATCTCCACCAGGCCCGGCACAGACTGGGACAGACAGGAAGTATACAGTTTCAGGGTAACTATGGCAACATCCCTTTTGGCCTCATGTGGGAAGGAGCTCTTGGAGTGGAGGGACCTTGTCAGTAATGGTCCAGAAAGTCTGCAAGTTTCTCTTTGTCAACTGGGTTACTCTCTCAATAAAAAGCCACACAGTGTTATTTAAAATAAGCAATCCCCAAATCCTCAACTTTTTTAAATTAGGGTGAATAAGATTAAGCTGCATTTTGGCTTTATTAAGTTAAACTCATATTTGAGGTTTTATGCCTTTTTTTTTCTCTCCCTCCAGCTGCCTTCCTGTCCAGTCTCGGCCAGTATGAGATTGCCATCCCAATACGTGTAGAACCCAATGGCGAGACTATGGATGCAGAAACGCCACAACATCACAGAAGAAGACGCAGCACTGAGGACAGAGTGCCTGACTCTGTAAGTTACTTTTTGAAAATGACTTCATTTTTTTCTTTGTCTTAAATGTATGCACAACCTTTTTTTTTTTAAATAAAGATTTTTGTTTAACTCCACTCGCTTTTCTATATATTAGCTCTTCTACCAGCTGTCCACGTCACGTAACAACTTCCTGCTGAACCTGACGCTGCAGGGAGGCCTGCTGTCCCGGCAGTTCAGGGTGGAGTATTGGAAGAAAGGTCGTTTAGCCTGGAGTCATCCCTACTCTCCCCATTGCCATTATGTAGGACACCTCCAAGACCAGCCGCACTCCAGCAAAGTCGCCCTGAGCAACTGTAACGGCCTGGTAAGACTTAAAACCTGCAAGTCTAATCCACATCTAATACACTGAGTGAGGTCAGCGGCCGTCGTGCTGGCCCAGCAAATGAGGGATCAGCTATGCTTGATTTGGACATCAAAGCTTGACATTTAAACAAAGTTTGAGCACTCAAGCCAGCTTTAATCTTTGCAAACCAACCAGTGTGGACCTCAAAAATGTAGGGCACTGGAAATTAAATCCTAAAAAGGTACTTTAATTCTTTCTGTAGGGATTTATATCCCTATAGAAACTTAATCGAGTTTATAGGACACAACAATGATGTTGTTAAATATCCAGTACAACAACTTCAGGCATATAAACTTTGACCACCATTTAACAATCAGGTAACTGCAGATGCAAATAAGCTTTATAGCTAACTCTGGCTCAAAATGTGTGTTCTGCATGGCCCATGTTATATAAAGTAATAAACGAAAATAAATCTAGAAATTACTTTACCATTCCCTATGCTCTCTTAAAAGATTTTGCCATGTTCACGACACGTCATATGGAATGGAGGGGTAAAAAATGATGGTTATGTGAAGGTAAAAAATGTCGTGCATTGACAATCTAATACTTCAAATACAAAAATCTTGGTTTAATTTTCGTGAAAGATAGACTTTGGCAGACATTGGTGTTTACGTTTGTTTGGTTTTCAGGCAGTTTCGTCTCATATAGTGCCAAGTCAAAGCTTTCCTGTTTGAATTACTACTTGGATTTTGATCTGAACACTATTTAAATTTGGAAATTGGTCATAACCATAACTCAAATACAACAGAAACGTGGCATGTATGAAATGAACAAAGTTGATGAGGCAAGTTAGGATTATGTATATATTAGCGTTGATTTATACACTTCGGCAAGAATAACATTTACAGTGCTTAACATAAAAAAATCAAAAGCATCAAGAGAAATGCAAAAGAAACAAACGACAAAAGACACTCAAACACAAAAAAGACAATTAAATAGGAGATTGTTTTTGGCTCTAGATGTAAACAACCTTTTTAGGCAAGACTCAGTGTGTACAAATTATGATATTCAGCACTCTATTTCACAAAAGTGATTCAAATAATTCCATAAAGAAAGAATAAAAAAACGTTTCAAAACCTTAGAAAGAAATGCAAATCTTCCCTAAAGCTATATTAAGTGGGCCCTGTTCTGACATGGTAACAATGCAGGGGTGTTGTTAAACAGATCAGCACCTTCAGCACATTGTTTGAAGTTTAACATCTACCTATAACCCACAATGCATCATGTTCTGGCATGCTCAATGGTGCTGTTTAAATGCAGACTAGGAAAATATAGGATATTAGTAACTGGAGCTGTGGTCAACCAGGCAGGTTTTAAGAAAAAAACATCTGAATTGAGGACCCTATGTCTATATTTGAACAGTTTTTCAAAGCATACATTTCATTTAATATACTGTATTTCCCACTCTCATGAAGTCATCAGCGTGTGACTGCAACAAAAAAAGAGATCAAAGTTAGTTCCCTCTATGAATCACTGGACTGGATCACCTAATTGTCATGCATCAGTTTGTTGGCTGAAATAATGTCCACGCATTCACAGCACTGTGTATCTGTGTATCCTCTCACTACAAACAGCAGGCTCCAAAATAACAGTTGTATACACAGCTGAGGATTAGATGTGCTCACAAAGCGTTAATAAGAAGCACACTTAATTACTGTTGGTCAGACCAGCATGAGCACATTCACCAGCGAGCAGGTGGTGTGTCCAGGGGAGCATCACTAACTTTATTATGGGATTAAAGGCACTTTAAAGTCCGCCGCAGTGAGTCGAGGGGAGACGCTCGCTCTGACCGGGCCAACACATCTGAGCAGATTCAAAGGAAGTGTTAGTGTATCGCTCTCTGTCTCACTCTCGTTTTTCTCGCTCTCATTCACTCTTTCATGCTCTCACGTGTGATTATGTGTGTTTGTGTGTATGTTTGAATCAAATATCTCTCACTAAATGCTTTGTAACTGCTGCTAGTATTGTACCCATCAAATATTACCTAAGAAACTATATTATGAATGCTAATGTAATATAAACTGATGTGCCTCTTTCCAAATATGATGCTCACTCTGAAAAGTATGTAAAGTTCTAATTTTCAAATTAACTAGATAGAAAGTGATCGTACATGGAGTTCAGACATTTCAACAAAACTAAACCCTGTGCTCAAAATCTGCTGCAGTGGAAGCCCAGAGGTTGTTATGCAGTCTGACCCTCTCCAACTGCCAGTTTCTGACCCATTAGCACGAGGATCCCTCAGAGGGCCTCAGACTCACTTCTGCTCACCTTAATTTACCTTGCCTGCTTTGTTGCTCATTGTTTTTTGTCACTAAAGCTCATAAGTGATTGACTTTGGTTGTATAATTACTGGAGCATTTTGGATGATGTGTGTTATTTAATAATGTGACGATTGTGATATTTCATGAAAGCAATGATTCCTGTTATTCTATTCTATTCTGTTCTATTCTACTCTCTGCAGCAGGGGGTGATTGTTGCAGGGGGAGAGGAGTACCTGATTGAACCCCTTGTCTCACCAGATAACCAGACCGGGACGGAGCGGGGGGAGAGAACAGAGGGGCGCCCCCATGTGGTTTACAAGCGGTCATCGCTCCGCCATCAATACAAGGGCAAATCCTGTGGAGTCGTTGGTAAGAGGAGAGATATTCTGGGCTTTTTATTAGCAGAAGTTTGGTCCAGACTGGAGGAGTAAACGTCCCCAGACTGATTTGCATAGCAGCAGCAGGTTGTGGTTGTGTCTGAGTTCCCAGTTGTGATTGGGTGTGACTGAGTCTGTGTTGTAGGGCGTTGCTGCAAAAGCAAAAATATTTTCAGAAAACAATATTGTTGCAAATAAAAAGTTAAAAACAAACCCGTTGCTAACGTTGTTTAGCATGCTGTATATCAATTGAAAGTGTGTTCAGGCATCATTCTGGTTGGTAGAGTGCTGTAGGAAAACTATAGTGAGTCGTTCTTTTTTCAATGTATAATTGGCTGAATTGCTTCTGTGCTTCTGTGATTTCTTACTATATGCCATCAAATCGTGTATGTGTGATCTTCCTCAGATGAGAAGCCGATGAAAGGCGCGTCATGGTGGCAGCGAACTCTAAAGACGCCTCCCCATCATGTCGGTCGTGGCCAGCTGCCTCTAAAGCGCTCAGTTAGCCGCGAGCGCTACGTGGAGACGCTAGTGGTAGCTGACAAGATGATGGTGGGTTACCATGGACGCAGAGACATCGAGCAGTACATCCTGGCTGTCATGAATATTGTAAGTTTCACAACACCGGAGATGCAAATTCACAATGTATTGAAAAGCCACTTTCCCAGTGTTATTGGAGTCATTACTGATGAATAAAATAAATTCATTTCTCAGGCATGGCAGATCTACCTAAAGCTTTAAGCCAAGATGTTGTTCTGTATTGTGTAGTTCAGCTTTTTTCTAAGCTTTTGGTAGGAAAATAAGGCAATTGTGGTTTGTTTACTTGACATCGAAACAAAACTGACAGCAGGTTGGAGTCAAGTTCATATTATAAATATTTCAGAGGAGATTAAAGAATGTGTCTACAATGTGCAATATAAGTTTACTGTGTTTTTGTTTTGGACAGTCTTTGTAAGCTATTTTGGTGTTCAATATGTCTAATATCACTTTTTTGTACGTGTTTGTACAAAGGAAATATATATTTTTTTATAGATACTATAATGACGCAATAGTATGTTCATGCAAAACCCTTTTAAAACCAGTTAAAAACCCAAGTAAACAAAACATTTAGGTCAACAACTTGTTTATTTATTGTTAAAATAATTTAATTTGGTTTAGTTTAGTTGCATGATTAATGCTTGGAGACAAAGGAAAACAAATGCATAAACCTTTTCTTTTTTGTCCTGGTGAAGGCCACATGTTTTACTGTCACGCTCAGATTGTATGTCATCATCTTAACCGTTTCTTGTCACTGCGGATCTTCTCACACACAGTTAATCACTTTAAACTCATACAGACACATGTTAGGAATGTATGTAATGAAGGGTTGGTCAGCCACTATTGTTACAAGCAGGTTGCATCTGGAGTGTTACAGAATCCCTGAAACCAACAGCGTCTCCTGAGTGGTGCGGAGCAAAGTGTGCCAAATTACAGCAGACACCACTAATGACAAGTGTCTGTAGTAGTGGTTCTAACTCTGGTGGTTTTTTATTAGTGTTGGTGCTTTAACTCTTAAATAATCATTTACACTTGTGGTGCACTGACTTTACAGCCCTTCTAAAATTCTCAGACTATTCTGTCTTGTAGAAAAAGTGTTTGGTTATAATGTAAAATTGATCTTGGTAGAGGAAAAGACAGGGATGAGTTCAAAGCACTCTGTTTTCTCTTGCCATTGAGCATCCCTCGCTACAAATGAATCCAGAGTTTATGGTGGTCTTATTTAGAGAATTGACCAATACGTTTTTTAATCTTCCAATATAATGCATGAAGGCTAGTCTCTGAACTGGAAATCAGGTAGTATTAGTGGTAGTTTTCCATCAATTTTCAAGATTGAGTTTTTCTCTTCCTAGAACTTCTCTTGCCATTACAAATCTAGTTTTATGAGGAATTACTCCTGTGTTTATTTCAAGTGTTGTCTGGGCTCTAGTGTTATTTTCTCCTCTGGTCTATTAACTATTTTTAAGACTGCTCTTTTCTTGTTTCCCTGGAGGTCAGGTTGCCAAACTGTTCCAGGATTCTAGCCTGGGGAATGCAGTGAACATTGTGGTGACGCGGCTCATCCTGCTGATGGAAGATCAGGTAAATAGACATTGTCAACTCCTGTAATAAACTTGGCTCTCCTATTCTCTCCTCTTCTCTTTCTGTACTTGTCTTTGCTTTCCCGACTGCAAAAAACTCTTCCCCGACAATCATATATGAGCTCCTTGTGGAATCAAATTATTGGCTTAAGTATCTTTTCCTCCAAGATCCCAGGTCTCTGAGTGTGTAAGTGGGTCTTGTGAATGGTGGCTGTAATGAAATAGACGGGAGGTTGTAAGGAAGAGGTAGATGGGTGAGGTAAGGCGGAAAAGTAAGGATATGAGGGGGGGTCTGTACCTTTCAGACAGAGCAGCTTTGTAACTATCCTGCTGGTTCACTCTGATGAACAGTGACCTCTATGAGCGTTGCTATGACGCACATCCAGGGTGTATAAAAGCTTGAAGTTAGATTTAGCTGCTGATGCAAAGCACAGCCTTTAAATAAAGTCCCAAAAGAACACCATCAGGATCCAAATTCAGCAGATTCCTCTAGATTCCGTTTGTGATTTTACAAATATTTTAGAGCCACGCTAGCAGTGTAGCAATAACGGTCGGACACTTGGTCCACTACTTTGTCCAGACTGAAATGTCTCAAAAACGGTTGGGCAGATTACCATAAGAGTTTTTACAAATATTGATGTTCTCCCAAGGATGAAAATGTGGGTAACATTTTCTTGAAGGACGACTATCAGGTTAAAACTTGCTAATGCTATGTTCACACGCTAATTCAGAAGGTGAACATGGAAAACATTCCTAAATATTGGCAATTTAGGAGGTAATTTAAAGAATATTAGCATGTGACATGTAGCTCAAAGCATTGCTGTGCATTGCTGTGCAGAGCCTCACGGTCTCTTGTTGTATGACATAAGTGAGTGAATGGATGTTATCAAAGGTTCAGAGTCTGAATCCACAACTGACATCTAGTCTGGGGTTCAGCTCATAAAAAGTACATGACCTTATCATCACAGCCAGGGAGATGACTGGGCCATCCGAATACCTCTTAAATGTCCTTATTAGCCGGCCATTAAACGCATGTGGTGAGACGGTGCGGCGGTTCTAATGTTGACATTCTAGCAATCTGACATCTGAATCATACTGAATTAAATAGTAGGCATTACAGTGTGGTTTTAGGTTTCCTCCATAAATGTCTTATTAGGGAACATTTATGATTCATACTGCCTCAAAATTAGTACCATAATTTACTTCTCGGATGTGTTCATCATTTTGACAGAGTAAAGAAGTTCATGTTTGGAACATTTATGATTCATACTGCCTCAAAATTAGTACCATAATTTACTTCTCGGATGTGTTCATCATTTTGACAGAGTAAAGAAGTTCATGTTTGGAACATTTGCGGTGGGCAATATTAGTGTTGTTATTCTTTCTCCATGGACTGTGGAGGTTGAGTTCGGGACAGGATAGAGAGTAGTCTCGGCGAGAGTCCTGCTGCTGGTTTCCAGCTCTGAATACGGCAAGCTGCCCCTGGAAAATAAAATCAGGCCAGCATCGGGACCAGAAATGAGGGACTGTGGGATGAGACAATTACTAGTTATGTCACCACATGCATTCCTTGGTTACGGGTTCTCTCCAGCTGTGGCCAGCAGAGCACTCCCTTCTCTTTTTCTCCTCTGTGCACTCTCATTATACTATAGAGCTCCTTCACTGTATTCCTGCCTTAGCATTCACTTGCAGCGAAGCCAAGGAAGTTTCTTAAGCCTTTAAAACTGGGATCCTTATGTTTTCTCACCACGACACACATCCCAATGAAATGCAATCTAATGAAAACCATGTAACGCTGAATGTGCTGATTTTAGATGATGTGGTTCTTTATGTATTGAGAAAATACCAACTTCTTTAAATAAAACCATTCTAAACCATTGGATAATCGGAAAAATGTAATGCCACAAACCTAAAAATGTTTTTTTAGCACATGTAAGTTGGCATTTTAGAGATTCATGGTTTCCCAGCACAGTAAGAATAACTGGTGTGGTTAAACAATGCAATACAGAAAGACTGAGGCTGGGCTATCATAGCATTGTTGGGCTTATCATCTGAGGGTTGAAATCACCCCTTGTTGACACTTGAATAAAGTTATATTATTAAGTTGAGTATCTTTTCAAAGATATACAATTGCTTGAATTGTTTTCTCCTTTTATGCGTTCAAGATAATATTACGTATATTTATTTTCCTAATTTGCTTTTAACTATTTATTACCTCTCTCTCTTCCAGCCAACCCTAGAGATCAACCACCATGCAGGGAAGTCTTTAGACAGCTTCTGTAAGTGGCAGAAAAACATCCAGCACCGGAGCAGCTACGGTAACGCCATCCCAGACAACGGGATCGCTCACCATGACACTGCTGTGCTTATCACCAGGTAAGAAACCATTCTTCAAAGCAGTAAGAACTAAAGACTAACTGTGTTTTAGAGCTTTCTTTCATAAATGATTTTACAAAGGACATTTAGAATGAAGACATTGTTTGTAAGTCCAACACAAAACTTCCCAATGTGTGGGTGCACAACAAGAAGCTGCACTGGGCAAATAACGCTCCAACTGCGACTTGTAAATGAAAATATGTTAAGGCTGATTCCCAGGGCCAAAAAAGGGTTTAAAGCAGCGTTTCCTCCTTAGCTGAATTCCTACATTCCCAGCCCTTATCCTCATAGGCTTTCATCACGCCAAGTCCAGAGAGTTAGACTGTATCTTGTCCTGTTTGAGGTGACAATAGCAGTGGCGGCTCTGCCCAACTCAGCCTCTGGAAAGAAAAACGTAAAAGAGATATGAAAAGAGAGCAAGACATATTTATGTTTTGAAGAAAGCAGCCCCAGAGGAAAATGGACAGGATAAGAAAGTGGGCAGAAATCAAGAAAAGCTGCGATGAATCTTACAGCGCTGGTTTCCGTTATTTCTCAAACTGCCCTTTCTGTTACTAATACTGGAGGAACAGACAACAGTGGTATCTGCATTTTAAGCAGCTCAACAATGTGCTATTGACTGAGGAATGTGCAACAGCTAACAACACAACCATGGTTTGGACAGAGTCATCTGAATCGGACAGGGCCGGACAGAGCTGACACACAAATAAATTCCTATTCTTCCTCACAGAATGTGCCATACAAATATATAAGATTGATGATTGTCTTGTGGTTTTGGTGGTGGCTTTGTGAGAACACTTGGGTTTTACGAGAGGATTTATCAAGCAGAGGATGGAAACTGTCCAGACAGATGACACCACAGTGACCGTCCATGGTTTTCCTGCTTTTGTTCTTTTAAATCTATATCTGTCTGCTATCACGTCTGTCTCTGTGAGTGTCACCATCTGGGAGGGTTACTACATCTCAATGTCAATGTGCAGTGGTTAAATGAAATTCAATATATAATTACTCAAGTACTGTTAAGTAAAACATGTTTAGCCCATGTACTTGTACTTAAGTATTTCCATTCTATGCCACTTTATACTCCATCTAAGAGGGGAATATTGCACTTCCCTCCACTTTAAATGATGATACATTTATTTGAGCTATCCAGCAGAAAACAAGAGTTAAACTCAGCCCTACATCTATCAGCTTCAACAAGTGATGAGCACATCACTAACTATAGTCCAATAACATGATACATATTGAGTACTCTTATACAAGTTACTTAAGTATCTTTAGATGCTAATACTGTTGTACTTTAACTTGGGTAAGATTTTGAATGCAGGACTTGCTATGTTTCCTTAAACAATAAGAACTAATATCTGAATATTTTAGGAGTCTTTTTGCATATCAATGTGTGATTACATCTATTAAGTGGTGCTGTTTCTGTTTGTGTGTCAGTATGTAGTTATTAGTCTAACAGCCTTGTTGTTTCCGTTCTTGTGTACAGATATGACATCTGCATCCAAAAGAACAAGCCCTGTGAAACCCTAGGTAATACACACACACCCCCACACACACACACACACACACACACACACACACACACATACATACATACATACATACATACATACACACACATATGAATATTTGTACTTTTCAAACACTATACTCACTGTACTATTCTTATAAGAACCCCCACCCCTTAGCCTGACTGTAGGCCTCACAACTGAATGCCTAACCTCAACCTATACACTAAACTGAACTAAAATGGAATTCTAAGTGTAATCCTAAAACCAAGTCTTAGACCTCAACATTTAATGATTTAGCCCGAGGTATAGATAGGCCAAAAATATTTGAAACTCAAATCGGACCAAAGACAGATATTACAGAGCACACATAATGTTATTATTACTGAATAGTACTGATTTGTGTGTGTGTGTGTGAGACAGGTCTGGCTCCGGTAGGAGGGATGTGTGAGCCGGAGAGGAGCTGCAGCATCAATGAGGACATCGGACTGGGAACAGCCTTCACTATCGCCCACGAGATAGGACATACGTGAGTGAAGCACACACACAGGGCCTATCTCCTTATTTAAAACCCAAACAAATCCATAATGAATTTCATCCTTTATGGGTACTTTGTGGATTAAACTATCTTTCAGTTTTATCTGTGCAGATTAAGCAGCTGCAAAAGCAGAACTTTTCTTAAAATGTGAGTCCACCCTGAATCCTTACCAGAGGCCTGTACTACGAAGCCGGATTTTCGCTTAGCGAGGTAACTTCAGGGTAAACTCTGGGTTTCCGGTCCTACGACGCTGGTTCTCTTCTTACCGAAGTAGATCTCCATGGTAATTTATGCTGAACGGCCAGTGGCGGTTCTAGACCAATTTGACTGGGGGGGCCAGGCTGGGGCCAGTTATCTTCTGAGGGGGGCACAATAAATGCAGGGACGAAAAAGACAAAGACAGTATGAAGTAATTGCGCATAAGAAAACAATGCAATACAGTTATTGGTATTTGTTTCATTACACATATTTATTTCAGATACTTATAGTTACAGTTTTTACGCTCTAATGCAGGGGTCTCCAACCTTTTTTAGGGTGAGAGCTACTTTAAAAAATAAAACAAGTGGTGAGCTACTTTTACTCCTCTTTTTTTTGTTTTTGCAGTGTATATATTTAGCACATTTTAACATTATGATATGCTTACCTTTAACCTTTGTGTGCTGTTAGGGTCAGTGGGACCCGTTTTCAGTGTTTACTAAAAGAACATGTATTAAATTTAATTATTTTAACCTGCTTTATTTGGGGGGGTGGACCCCCATATAAGTTAAAAGCATCAATCTGGTGCACTTTGAGCACAACAGGAATTTATGGAAACAGCTCTCAACACTCGGATGAAAGGGAGCTGTATACTTTTCAATAATCCAAACATCTTTAGAATATGATCACAACCAATAACAAATCATTTAAACTTGTTTATTCTTATCTTATGTTACCTAGTTAGCATTCTTTCTTTTTATTTATGCATATTTTACTAATCACTCCCCTTTTAAACTGTTATTTTTGGGAATGATTTCTTACTTTATTTTTTACAACTATATTAAATATGAAAAGGTGTGCTCTCTCTAGGTCTCTCTCTCTCTCTAGGTCTCTCTCTCTCTCTCTTCCTGTCTGTCTCTCTCTCTGTCTCGCTCGCTCACAGAGGCACATGTGTGCTCCACCCGTGGCGATGACGGCTTGCGTTAAACATATTTGTAAGTGGGGGAAACAGGATTTCGACATGTCCCCAGTGTAAATTACGCGGAGACCCCTGGGTCTAATGGGTCCGACTACAATGACAAATATCGTTAGTTCCGCCTATTCCGTCCAGCCAAGAAATCGTTTAATCATAAACTTTTTTTTTTTTTTTTCATTTTCAGGGGGGGCCACAGGGGGGTCCAAAGTCAGTGTTAGGGGGTCACTGGCCCCACCTGCCCCCCCCCCCTAGAACCGCCCCTGTGAACGGCAAACCTGCTCCGGAGCAGGTTTGCCGTTCACAGGGGCGGTTCCAGGATAAGAGATCAACTCAGTGAAAGCACTGCCTGCTGACCAATCAGAGCTCAGTGTGCAAAGTTTAAAGCTATCAAGTCATATTACAGGATAAAGGAAATACAGAAAAACTGCCGTTGCAGGAAAGAGGCCGGCAAAAATCAACTGACTGTGTGAACGTGAACGTGAACATTTATAGAATATCACCTCCCATCTTCAGAGCAATCTGACTAATATAACATTAGCGTTAAGAAAGCTTACTTAAATATCTGCCACAACATAAGTAACCGGATCAAAGTAACATAACAACAGTCCGCGGCACTGTGAGTGCAGACGTCGATGTGTCCCATTATCATTCATATCATATCACATCATAATGTATCATATATTTCCTTATTTGAGTCAGCTTCTTGAGCCGTATCTGGCCGTGCAACACTCACAGTGTCACATACTGTATGCAGAAGTATTATTTTAAGCAACACATTACATTGACGAAACACTTGAGTCAAATGTAATTAAAGACAGATCCACTCGTGTCTTGGACGGGGCAGTGATATCATAAACCTGTTAATGTACGCATTCAAACACTTTTTCTTTTACCAGCTGTATTCACCTTGCAGGTGCAGCTATGTGGCTTTTATCCTGGATAAAGTGTTTAAGTCATGGATGTTTAAGTTTAACGTCTTCATATTTGTCTAATATTATAGTTTACTTTTCATTCAGGAAGTATGACGCTGCGCTGTCCAGTACGCTTGTCCATGTTTGTGATTGATCAAATGTTGCTAACATCCGCCCCTTACATGTGAACGCGCACTAAGCCGGACAGAGAAACCCTGGCTTGAGTTACCGAGTTGATAACCAGCGTCGTAGGACTGCTTAGCGAGATCGCGTTTTGTTTTGGGTTAGTTAAGCCAGATAACTCAAACCTATCCAGGGTATGTTGAACTGGATTCGTAGTACAGGGCCTCAGATCTATGGATGATGTTTTTTAGCTGAGGCTGAAAAACAAAATGTCCCTGAAGGAATCCTTGAGGTGTCTCATTTGTCTTTCTTGTTTACTGGTCTGAGAGGATCCCTCCCTCCTCAAATTACTCCCCTAGATCTCTGGAGAGAGGTCATGTAGATGCCCAACACCATGAGTCATTTCCATGTGTTAAAGTTGTATATTTTCTTTCTGTCACACTATTTTATGTGCAATTAGTTACATGTTGGGTTGGTGAAGCACCTGGAGATGCCTCAGTTTTTTTTCTTTAAATCTGGATTCCCTGTGTTATTTGGAAACTGTGTTTACTCATTTGCCTGATCTGTATCACTTAGTAACATGCAATTCTGTCTTCAAATGGGCTTTGTTTCTGTCATGAATACAGTAAGAGAAGTGACCTATTGTATCCCTCTTTTTTCTCAAGCAAACCATGGTTTATTTTAGTATCTTACTTGCTCAGAGTACTGTAATTGAGTGTCACCTTGCATTATGATCCCACACAGCCCCGATAAGTATTAATGCAGATGTGGGATCCTGCCTCCCTTATGATTAAATACTAAAGACAACAATGCTTTCTAGCAAACATGACTGCATATACAGTAGTGTGCTGCTATATACAATCTGGTTTCCTCTACAACATCACATGTGTTTTTAATTGTCATATAAAGTGTTTTGACATCACAGTGCAGCTTTAGATTAAATGCAGGGCCTGTTTGTGGTTTAAGGAATGCCAACATGAAAAGACTGAACCAACAGAAATGAGACTCACAGGGATGAAAAGCTTTCAGAACATTTTTATTTCAGGCTCAAACACAGCTAACTGTGAGTGTTAAACAAGCAACAAATGGACCACTAACACAGTATCTTAATACAGCTGGTAAACTATTAGTAAATATGTTGAACATGGAGTATTTTGAATAACTAAAAATCTTTGGGCATGACTTTCCATATTTCAGTAATTTCATAATGAGTGTCAGTGGGGGTTCAACACCCAGAGCTCTGCTATTTTCCTATCCTGCATGCTGATGCATAATTTGCATTGTGGGAATGGAGTATCACAGTTATCCTGGAATAATTCATCTGCAAACCATTTTGATAATTGATAGTTTATTCACATTGGTACATTCTTGTATCTTTGTATTTATGTATTAAAGAGCATTGTCCACTGTCCTATTATATTACGTATTATCATCTGTTTATTTTATTATACATAAGAGATGCATTCAAATTAGGTACTTTGTGGTTAATGGTCACATGATTGGTTGTGTTTTAGCCATGATTTCAACATGTGGTCACAGATTTTTATGGATGAACTTACTGTAACATCAATAGTTATATTTCCCAGTGGGTTTATGTTTCAGGTCGTATATCCTTTCTGTTGTTTGATGTTCAGTTTATCAGACAGGTGTTCTGACTGGCACTCGACTTCTATAAAAACCACTCGGTTATCCACTTTGATGTTTTTTTCCACTCTCCTGGTCCTGCTGCAGCAACGATTACCTGACCACCCGGCCTCAAAAGTGTTGTCATGGTATCATTATGTGCGTTAGGTTTGGGATGAACCATGACGGGATGGGGAATGCCTGCGGGCCCCGCAGCCAGGAGACCGCCAAGCTGATGGCCGACCACATCACCATGAAGACAAACCCATTCATCTGGTCTGCCTGTAGCCGGGACTACATCACCAGCTTCCTGGAGTGAGTCAGCCTATCAGATATCTGCACCACCACAAATCCTTTTGTAATCAGAGGTTTGAGAAATAAAAAAAAAGACTTGGTTGTCAGAGTAACATTTTTGATGGTCAGAAAAGACAGACACAGGTAGAAACATCAATATCAATTTCAATTTAATTATCTTCCTCGGTTTTTTCTCATAATTTACAACAGTTCAATTATATTTAAATATCCCTCCTTGTTGTCTGTGCTTTAGCTCAGGTATGGGCTCTTGTCTGAACAACGTCCCCCCGAAGCAGGAGTTTGTGTACCCCACCACAGCACCGGGTCAGGCCTACGACGCAGACGAACAGTGCCGCTTCCAGTACGGAGTCAGATCTCGACAATGTAAATATGCGGTAAGTGCTCTGGTATAGTTCCTTACTTTACATTAATGCTTGCTCTCAAGTCAGTGAAGAACAATATGTTTACCTATTGATCTAAGCAAGTGTAAGGTCTAACACAATTTTAGTGCAATACTCTAAATTAGTCATGCACTGTAGAGATAATGACGATACAATTCTTCAGCCACCCAAGTCAAAGCACATCTTGAAGTCTTAATTCTAGACTACTGCAGTTGCTGTTTCAGTTTTTAACACTGACTTTCATCACTTGTCCAACAGCCTTTGCCAGTTGTACCATTAAAAAGACCAGATGAAAGCTCTTATAATATTTATTCTTATTCTTTATGATGGTACCAGGCTGACTTAATCCTTCTCTAATAAAGGATTTCATCTTAATTAAAGTTGTTTACCTTGCTTCTCACTTCTTATTTGTATTCCTCCGCCTCTCTCCTTCAAGTTGGTCTCTTTGACAACGTGAAACTTCTTGGAATACCTTTGTTGAATTGCATCCACTTTATTGCTTGGTCAACGTTTATGGTGCCAGATTCAGAGGGAATGGACATCTGGAACGGGGTGTATACAGCTTTATAGACTCATTACTATTGATACTATATGGTACGAGCATATGTACTCAATAAAACATATCCCATGTGTTATAGGCATCACTGTAGAGAGAGCAGGAGGAGGATGAGTGTGTCTGCTCTTGTGTCCTCATAATGAGCTTGTAAAGAAACACTCACTGACAAGTTTTCTCTCTCTTTCATGTTTTTATTCTTCTTTCACTCACACGCAGGAAGTCTGCAGTGAACTTTGGTGCATGAGCAAGAGCAACCGTTGCATCACCAGCAGCATCCCCGCTGCAGAGGGAACCATCTGTCAGACCAACACCATCGAGAAAGGGGTAAATACTTACATTATTATTTGAGGGCAGAAGGGGGCCTGTTGCCTGCACAAAGGATACATGTAGGACAACTTTGCTTCTTTCTTTTACTTCATGTCTATTCAACTAGTTTTTTCTTATATGCCAACAAACACTCAAATCTTAATTTAAAGACTTCAATAAAAGCCTTGAATGTACAATGGGAAAAAATAGGTATTCAGTACAGCATTTTTTATTCAAATAGCTTTATTCGTATGACCACAATGACATACA